ATCCTTTTTGATGTTGTTGGAGAATCACTTTGACGTTTAAAGAACCATCCTGTTTTTGAAGGTTTTTGTAAACATTCTGGAGTTGCCTTTTTAATGATGAATTCAGGTTGGTACTCATAGATTCAAAGACTACTATTTCACCAGTTATGGATGTAGAAACCACCCAGTGGTTACCAATATTATGACATTGAATTGCTTGGGTGATATTTTCAGGAATATTTATGAGTTTCTTACTGTATGTGACTGCTACGACTGTGTTCAGACCTCCCACTCCGGTACCAAGATCACCTATTAATTTCTGTGCTGCATCAATATGGTCATCTGAAAGCCATCCATTTAGATTTAGAAGCACGTCTTTCTGAGCATATGACAACTTTATTCCTTGAATATCTACCCAACACTCCTCAGAATTTTCAATTTTCTCATTGTTGTTCATTTTCATCTTTTTTGCAACTTGCTCTTCAATTACTTGTAATTTGCGTTTCTCATGCTTCTCTTCTTTTTCAAGCTTCTCTTCAAATACTTCAATCTTTTCACTTCTTAAATCAGCTGCTCTTCCCACTCGTTTACCTGGACACCTCTTGCATTTTCGTTTTGGCAAAGCAGATTGTGACCTACACTTTGAAATTTGTTTCTTTGTTGGAGATAAGGACTTGTTTTTCAATGAAATTCCATTTTCCTCAGAACGATTTTTTCTTGTGTATTGTATTACCTCTTGTAACATCTCCAGGGTTTTGTCCAAAACTTTCTCATCATCCAAAATGTAAAGCTCATCCTGAATTTGTTTGACTTTTTGAACACACTTATTTCTAACATTTTGGATTGAGTTGGAGCAATAATCTGTTGTGGTAAGAAAACAGTCAGAAGAATGAGCTTTTTCATAATCAGGACATTGCGCAAAGTTTCCTGGCAGTGTCTTGTGTATGATATCAGTCTGAGTTGGGCTTATATTGGCTTTTGGTTGAATTATATGGGGATCTAAAGTAAATAGGGGATGATTGGAAAACTTCACTCCAATTGATTCCCACCCAACATTTGGTTGTTGAACAACAGCACAGATGTGTTTACAATGCATCTTCCTACTCCTGTAATCAAGACATTGGCAGGAAGGCATTTGGTCGTTTGATCCCAAAAAAACTTGATATGTGGATGATGAGCTTGTGACAGTGAAATGTTTTGTCGTTTCCATCTTGATGTTTTTACTTGGAATGTCAGATTCCATCCGTTGAATAATATGAGAAACAACATACTTTGGTCTATTGTGCAGGAACTTTGGGATTTGTTTGCTGTAGGACTTGTATGAATCGGATGATTTGATATTCTGTTCCTTATATCTATAAAGAGAAAATTGTAAGTACACTTATACTTTTTTGATTATCGTTAAAGCTCACTGATTGCAACCAACACACCATCACGAGGTCTAGCATTGATCAGTTTGCGAGGAAAACGTTGGGAAAATTAGCACGAACAATTTAAGATGAATACATCGCTACTGTTATCGTTCTTGTTGATATTTTATCCTTTGGTTTGTGATTCAGCAACATCGAAAGAAATTAAATGTAGTTATAGAAGTTGTCATTTGTGTTTCGCGTGTATCAATGACTTATCTTTTAGGAATAATAATGACCATAATCATTTGTGTTTCTAAAATCAAAATACTCATCTACTCCTTTGTTTTGTCTAGTGGAAAAAACACTCAAAGGCATACTTGACAAAATTTACACACTTGGTATCGAGGTGGGAAAGGGTGAAGAAATTGTGAAATTCTATACAGAGAACTGTGTATTGATTAATTAAGGTGTTCCGGCAATAAATGGCAAAGCAGGTAAGTGAGGCATTTTTCATTTTAAAAACTTGCCTGCACACTTGCAGACGTTGCAAAAGTTTTATTTTGTATTTTCACGATATCGTTTAGAGTTGTTACATCTCTACAAAACCGTTTTTAATAGAACAACAATTATTAAAAAGGTTAACGTTTTTATGGACGACGTATATGACATGGGAGACATTGTTACTCTTAGATACCACGCGACCAACCATTTAGCAGATTGCAGTGTCCTTACGACTACCTGGTGAGAACTTTTAACAGCAAATCCAATTTTTCATTGTTATGATGAATGAGCACATTTTAAAGTGAATTTTGACATAACATAGAAAATTTGGCTGTCATCTTATAACCGAGAGCAAAAGTTCACCTTTTGACCTTTTGCGTTCGTGAAAGAGATATTTTTGGAGATGATTAGGATCTTTAAAATGCTAAAACACACAACGGGCAGCCAAATTTAAGCATTTCATTTCTAATTCGATGATGGCAAATAAACTAAATGAATAAATTTCTTGCAGACTAATCATCGTTTGGAAAAAGATCAAGGGCAAATACTTGATTCACAATCAAGTTTCAAATGAGCGAGAGAACATGTGTCCTAAATGATTGTTAAACTCAGCATTGGAGGAAACAAGACACTACATTTATTTGTCTTATTAATAAATTTCTAGATAAAATGAGCTTTGAAGACCATAACCGTTGTGGACTTTCAATTTAAATTCTATTTTGAAACATCTTTATTACAAAATGTTCTTGTCTCCGTTTGAATTTTTACGTAGTCATTCATCTGTTACTTAGCAAACGTAGTATCAGTGATAGCTTATTTTAAGGTGCGATCTTTTAGTCAAGTAGCAAATGGTGTTTCCCCACCCCCCCTCCTTAACTCCACTAAAACTAGGTTAATTTATATTTCTGTAAATCATGACTTGTCTTTCAGTACATAAAGCATTTTTCAATTTGCATGTTTGGTTAGAGAATATTCTTTATTAATTTGTTTTATTATTTTGCCATTTCTTTGTCGTTTTTCTCGCCAAGAATTCTTTTTAGTTAAACCCAAAGGCATTCCTACATGTTTGAGTAATGGCAGATCATACTATGGCAAAATTATAGAAATATGTTTAGATACAAGACTCTCTCCTACATACAAACAAAGAAAATTTTATCGTGAAGAAAATTATACAGTTTTTGCATTTCGTGCAAGACTGGCTTTTTCAGTGACAATTTGCACTCTTTGAAGTCACACAACGCTTTTTCGTTTGTAAATAATCTTAAGTAAAAATCCAAGTTGATCCAGTATAACCTTTCGATCGCTTGAAAAGATCAATTTGACATGAACATTTCTATATAAATTCATCAATATTTCCTTTGTGAATTTGTTCATTTTCACTTGCAAAAGGAAAATTTAAAGCAATTTGTGTAAATAAATGAAAGGAAGTAAATCGTTTGAACCCGGGAGTATCGTTACATGTTTGTAGATGTAGATCGTCCAGGTTAGTATAGTCCTGAGAAGGACTGTTTTTGTTGTTGTTGACTGACGTTTCGACAACCTTAGCGGTAGTCATCTTCAGAGTCTCTGGTTGAGACTACCGGTCTACCGCTAAGGTTGTCGAAACGTCAGTCGACAACAACAAAAGTTCTCAGGACTATACTAACCTGGACGATCTACATCTAAACATGTAAATGAAAGGAATTGCATTAAAACCAGTAACGTCAGTCCAACGTTGATTAAAGGGACTATGTTGATTTCTTCGGACCATATTCTGCTGTTTCTAAGCAATAAAGAAATCTGGCTGGTATAATAATATAAATGAACGCTTGGTTGACGCCAAAGTTGTGAGCTGATTGAAGTGTGTTAGTCTGGTAGTTTCCCCCAGATAAAATACTCTAATTATCAAACGAAAAACCTAAAAACATTGTTAATAAGCAGTGCTCTCTTCCAATGGAAAAATTACTTTTCTTCAAGCTACTGTTGTTATATTTTAGAAAAATTCGTTGTGCATTTTATTATCATCATAAGTAAAATAATGCTTTGCATGTGGTGGTTGTCTGCACAATGTTACCACTATAAGAAACTGCACTCAACTATAAGATGCGCTCTTATACGCATCTGATACGCAGCAGACTACCAGTTGCGATAAAAAGTGTGCTGAGGTAAATCATTCCTAAAATCACTATTTCCGATGCAAATTTCGCTTTGCCAGAAAATTTTAAAGAAGACAATTTGAAGTTCTGTGTTAATGTGTTAATGCAAATTTATGTTTGTTAAAGGACTAAGGGTGCAGTCTTGTGTTTAATTCATTCATATGAAACAGCAATAACATTCGTATGCTTTTTATTTAAAGGCCACATGCAAGCTAGAAAACAACTTTATTTTATTGTAATGCCTATAGCGTGAAAATAAGACTTACCAAATTTCAAAGTCGTCCGCAAAATATTTCAAAAGATATTTAGGATTATAATCGGTAAAAACAAGATATTCGATGACCATTGCTAAAACGCCGTGAGATTGTTTAAGTCTGGGAACTGGGAAAGAGTGACGTATTAGTTGACATAAACAAGCATCGTTCTTATATCGTTCTACGACTTGCATGCAGTGCTTGCACGGCTTTCGGTAGTTTGCTATTACTGTTTTTTATTTATCAAAGATTAATGATTCTTCTTCTGAAGAAGCCGATTATGATATTATCATCAATAACAATAAGGTACAACCTTACATGTTTGAGCCTTTGGCAAACGCGTAAGGTGGTCATAATGATGACAATTCTCCGTCATCGGAAAGCGAAGATAAATACATTCACAGAATTGGAAATGTTGAATGGTTAGTTGCATTTTATTGATGCTTCATTGTTTTTCCCAAAGTATAAACAATGTTTTTATCTTTTAGGTGTGAGTGTGGCTTTTGTGTGGTCATGAGTACAGGACGGGAAAGTATATGTTGCCAAGAGGTAAACAATACTGATCCTCTGTTACATGGCGATCATATTTGCATCACACAAGAGGAAGAGTTTGCCACAGTGTGTACAAACGAAGCTGTCGTAAAAACAGCTATGGTCGTGTACACACATGACATTGGAGCTATGCCTGAGAGTGAAGAAAACGAGTGAGAGTCTGATCCATTGTAGCTATTGCTCATCGTCGACGTGCTTTCTTGTATCAGACCATACAGCGCTATCCTCAAAAAGTTCAATTTCACATGACGTCGTCTGTGTGCTGTGATTTTTTGTTGAAATTAACTCAACCTCCGTACCTTAGCATAAAATTATCGTATTGCTGGATTTTTCACAAAAATCAAAACGGCCGAAATGGAAAGTCTATACCTCTACTTATCATATTTGGCACTTTTGTTTGAGTGGTTCTTGACCTTGCGTGTTTTTGCGGACGGATTGTTATGTCTGCTTGGCATTTCACATTGCGCTTCTAAGGTATAAAGAATTTTCTATGAGTTAAAATAACAAAGAAAAAATCAAATGACATTAGTCTGAATTAGTTACCACTGTATATGTTTGTGTTTCGCTGTCTACATATATTTTGACATCTTTTATCTTAGACTAACTTCCTTTGACTTAAAACGCACAAACATTTCGAGCCGATGTCGACACATTGTGGTCGTCGCCTTCAAGAAAGTCGTCATGTTCTGCAAGAACGTCGTCAATAATCTAAAATTATAAAATTGGACTCAATTTGGTAATGCTAATAGCTTAGTTGTTGATAAATGTAAACAAATATTACTAACTATAAGTATAATAATCACCTCTTGCCTTCGTCTCTTCTCAAATGCAGTTCTAACATTTGTTGGCTGCTTCCTTTTAGATGCTACACTTGTGGGTTCCACAGAGTATTCAAAAATCGTGGGTACAGCATCCTTCTTAAGGCGAAGCCGTCCTGCTGTCCATCCTACTGATTGCATCGCTTCAAAATTTTGCACGAAGCACGAACTCTCGAAATGTTGCGAGCACAATTTTGAGCTCTTTGTTGGCTTCCAATTTTTGCGTCGGATTTTTTCAATCCAAATATCTCGCATGCGCTTGTTTTCGGGAAACGAAAAAAAAGAAACCTTTTGCTGCGTTTGGTGGCTCTTAGAAGAACCGTTTTTACAATTAAATGCGGCACAATAAACCAAATTTTCAATGCTAAATTGTCGTGTTGTTAAGAAGTTACCAATATATTTTGAACGAAGCGCGCAATTGACCGCGTTTAGCGAATGTCAACTATTACGTCACAACGACCTTTTTCCAATCGGTAGCCGTCGTTAGCTCGTCGGGCATTTTCAATACGTTATCAGTAAAGCATCAACTTTAAACCTCCATATCTTCTAAAATATTTATCCTTTGAGTCTCAAACTTTGGTGAACTATTAGTTGGAGCTATACCTTTATGTAAAGTACAAAAATAACAATCCGAATTTTATGTTGCATGTGTCCTTTAAAGAGTCAAAGTTGTGTTCATCGCTTATCACAAACAACGTTAAAAATATTCACAGCATGAAACATTTATAAGGTTATCAGAATAGTTCATCTATGACTTCTGATGAACCTGAAAACTTAAGGGATCTTAGATTGTTGTAAAAAAATAATGTATGTTGCTTGTTCTAACAGAACTGTGCACATTCCACATTTAATGTATACAACGCAGCTTCACAACACGCAAAGAACAGAGAAATAGAGAAATGACGAAACAAAGTAGCATAGATTATTCTCTAATTAAACATGCAAATGAATAACTCTTTGTGTCGAGAGTTGTAGAAGTATAAATGAATAAATACATAATGAAAATAATAATTTTTTGTGTCGAGAGTTGTAGAAGTATAAATGAACTAAAACGTTATGTCGTGTTATTTTTTAAGTGTTAGGAAATATGATCTTGATGGTTTGCATTTAGTTATGGGAAGCAAATTTATGTAAAACGTAAAAGAAATGACAATGTTTACTGCACTAATGATGCCATTTCTATACCGAAACATGTACACGTGGACTTAAAAAAATCAAAAAAAATTTAGTTAATGTTGAATGAAACTTAATAAAAACGATCATTCAGCTTATTTTTACTAGAGAAAATGGGAAACACCAATTGCCAATTGACTGAGGGGCTGCAGTGTTCACTAATAATGTGTTTCTTATATATAAATAACTTATGGAGATATTCTATAGTAAAATTTAAATAGAGACAAGAACATTTTGTAATAAAGATAATTCAAAATGGAAATCAAATTAAAATTGCCAAAATGCACTCGCCACTCATCTATAAAGATACTCACCCTACATCATCTTTTGAATGCTAGACACAAAGAAGACACAAAATAAAAACCATAACAAAGAGCCGTTCGATTGAATATTTTTGTGTCACGGATATCTTATTATTACACATGTGATTACAATAATGGCAGTTAGTCAAGTGAAAAGTGCCATTTTTTGACAGTTAAGATGGCTGAAATTGCTAACTGCTGCCATTTTCTTTACCAAAGCATAATCCTAATAGTAAATGAGAAAGAAAAAATCTTATGTTCTGAAAGCGAAAGGGAAACTTATTAGACATAAATATTTTGTTGAAAATAATTGTTATCTATTTCTATCTTGAGTTTTTATGAATTCGTATCGTACTCGAATATGGTTCCTACGGTACCAGACTATCAGTTGTTAAAGATTTACAAAACGAATTTAAAGAGGACAATTCTGAAAATCTGTGTTAACGTGTTGACGCAAATTTGTGTTTATTAAAGCACTAAGAGTGCAGTGCTGTGTTTCATCAAGTACTGTCATTTGCATGCTTTTTGTTTACAGAGTCAATGTTGTCTTCATCGCTTATCACAAACAGCGATAAAAATATTCACAGCAGGGAGCATTCATACGATTATCAGAGTTGCTAAATCTACGACTTCTGATAACCGTATAAAGATTCTTGTAGCAAACACTGTGTCTTTTAATTTACAATTTTGCCTCGTTTCTTTTGCACTCACTTATTTGGTTTGCTTACGTTGTTTTTCCAGAGAATGGTTAAGTGATCTATCAGAACTGTGTACGTTTTACACATTTAATGTATACAACGTATGTTCACAACACGCAAAGAACAAAGAAATAGAGAAATAATGAAACAAACGGTAGTATAGATTGTTCTCTCAATAAACATGCAAGTAAAAAATGCTTTATGTATCGAGAGTTGTAGAAGTATAAATGAACTAAAACGTTATGTCGTGTTATTTTTTAAGTGTTATGAAATATGATCTTGATGGTTTGCATTTAGTTATGGGAAGCAAATTTATGTAAAACGTAAAAGAAATGACAATGTTTACTGCACTAATGATGCCATTTCTATACCGAAACATGTACTCGTGGACTTAAAAAAATCAAAACAAATTTAGTTAATGTTGAATGAAACTTAATAAAAACGATCATTCAGCTTATTTTTACTAGAGAAAATGGGAAACACCAATTGCCAATTGACTGAGGGGCTGCAGTGTTCACTAATAATGTGTTTCTTATATATAAATAACTTATGGAGATATTCTATAGTAAAGTTTAAATAGAGACAAGAACATTTTGTAATAAAGATGTTTCAAAATGGAATTCAAATTGAAAGTCTACAAAGCTCATTTTATCTAGAAATTTAGTAATAAGACAAATAAATGTAGTGTCTTGTTTCCTCCAATGCTGAGTTTAACAATCATTTAGGACACATGTTCTCTCGCTCATTTGAAACTTGATTGTGAATCAAGTATTTGCCCTTGATCTTTTTCCAAACGATGATTAGTCTGCAAGAAATTTATTCATTTAGTTTATTTGCCATCATCGAATTAGAAATGAAATGCTTAAATTTGGCTGCCCAATTAATGCTAAAATTTGGCTACCCGAACGCAAAGGGTCAAAAGGTCAGCTTTTGCTCTCGGTTATAAGATGACAGCCAAATTTTCTATGTTATGTCAAAATTCACTTTAAAATTTGCTCATTCATCATAACAATGAAAAATTGGATTTGCTGTTAAAAGTTCTCACCGGGTAGTGTAAAGGGCACTGCAATCTGCTATATGGTTGGTCGCGTGGTATCTAAGAGTAACAATGTCTCCCATGTCATAAACGTCGTCCATAAAAACGTTAACCTTTTTAATAATTGTTGTTCTATTAAAAACGGTTTTGTAGAGATGTAACAACTCTAAACGATATCGTGAAAATACAAAATAAAACTTTTGCAACGTCTGCAAGTGTGCATTTGCCATTTATTGCCGGAACACCTTGATTAATCAATACACAGTTCTCTGTATAGAATTTCACAATTTCTTCACCCTTTCCCACCTCCATACCAAGTGTGTAAATTTTGTCAAGTATGCCTTTGAGTGTTTTTTCCACTAGACAAAACAAAGGAGTAGATGAGTATTTTGATTTTAGAAACACAAATGATTATGGTCATTATTATTCTAAAAAGATAAGTCGTTGATTCACACGAAACCTAAAGACAACTTCTATAACTAAATTTATTTTCTGCGTATAAAAATCTGTTAAAATTGATTCATGCTTAAAGTGAACAAAAATTTTGTGTAGTTTTATACTTTGTAACTTCTCCATGGAAATGTTTCAGCCCCATACCTGATGAACGTTCATCTTTCGAAGAAGATGCTGAATCAACAGACAAAGGATAAAATATCAACAAGAACGATACCAGAAGCAGTGAATTCATCTTAAATTGTTCTTTGGTAACATATCACTTCATTTATGTACTCTCTCACACCCATCAACTTCTTTCTTCCCATTGGCTAAGCAAAATTAATTTCTACATTCAATATTTATTTAGTTTGCATGAGTCTGTGACGTGCACTCATTTTCAAAGAGTCTTGTTTACGAGTCTTCTTTGAAGAGATGTTTGATCAAAAACGCGTATAGCGACATCATTGACAATGGACAGACGATTTCTAAAGAGTAGCGAGAGACTTGCCGAGCGGAAATCGAATTCGTGTGATAAAAATTAATGCCCAACATAAAGTTCTGATTAGAGCCATAGAAATATACAAAAAAAAACAAATTGTAAAATTAAATTTATTGTAACGTTTCGTCTTTACTCAAGACATCTTCAGACAAATGGTGAATAGGATGTTAAGACAAGATATTATATTTACAAAAAGGTGTTAAATTACTACTAAAGGAAGCGGTGTCGAATGGATATATGATAAGGAAGTTAGGAAGTAAAATAAAGAGAAATTAAAAGAGGTTAAGTGGAATGGAGTTTCCTTGCACATTAAGTGAAGGCTTGTATTTATTGATTAGAAGGCTTTCATGAATGGAGAGTTCATAAGTATCGTTAGACAAGGAGATTATTTTAAAGTCGTCAAAGTTGGGGGTGTGTCCAGTTGCGTTAATGTGAGCAAGAATGCTTGATGATGCAGGATGGGAAACTTGGTTGCCTGTAAGGGGGGATATTCCCAAGTGCTCCGAAAATATGGTGTGTAGATGACGCGTGGTTTGACCCACATACGAGGCGCTGCAGCTTCGAGCCTTGAATAAATAGACTACACCAGATCTCAGAGGTTTGGGAATTTTGTCCTTAAAGGGGAAGAAAGAAGAGATACGTTGAGAAGGGCGGAAAACAAATTTAATGGATATATGTGGGAAGGCTGCAGCACAAAGGCTATTGATTTGTGTGCGAATTTGAAGGAGTGTATGCCGGTGAAAGGAAGACAGAAATAGATGGGCATTTTGGGAGCAGTCAAGACAGGTGGTTTAAGGGCAAAGGTGTTGTTAAGGAAGCGACGTGTGATTTGGTCAATTATACGTGAAGGAAAACCGTTTTTGGTGAGTGACGTTCTGGTAAATTGAGTTGTGTATGAAAATTTTCGTAGAGCAAAGATTGAAGATGCGGTGAAGTAAGCAGGAGACTAGTGAAAGTAAGGTGGGATGAAGCTGTGGAAGTTGGTGAAGAGGCCAGTGAAAGTAGATTTGCGGTAGACGGAAGTGGTGAATTTTCCATTAGTACGAGAGATATCAATGTCAAGAAATGAGAGCTTTCTGTTTTGTTCGACTTCAGCTGTGAATGTGATGTTAGGTGTTGTCGGTTCAGATAGTCAAGAAAGAGAGGGACGTGATCGGAGGAATGAAAAGTAAAAAACAGTCGTCAACGTAACGTCGGTAAAGTAGTGGTTTGAATGAAGAAGGACATTTATTAAGCAAGGATTTTTCGTGAAAGGACATGAATATATCAGCAAAGAGAGGGCCCAATGGACTGCCCATAGCCACACCATCAATTTGCTGGTACATTTTCCCGTTAAAGATAAAGTGACAGTTCTTAACAGCTAGAGAGAGCAGTTTTTCAAATTCTGTTGCAGTGAGTCCGTTGAAGTACTGGTGGTTGTTAAAAATGCTTTTGGATATTATGTGGATGGTTTCGTCAACAGGTATGTTAGTAAATAGGGATACGACATCAAAACTAGCAAGGACAACATTACTGGAGTTGATATCGCAATTTAGGATTTCTTCAACAAAGGAGAATGAGTCTTTGATGATGAGGTTGCTTATAGTGAAGGGTTTTAGGAGTGGGATGAAAAACTTGGCTAGTTTATACGAATAGTGATTAATGGAGGAAAGAATGGGTCTGAGAGGGATGTTACATTTATGTATTCCCAAGTTTCCCATCCTGCATCATCAAGCATTCTTGCTCACATTAACGCAACTGGACACACCCCCAACTTTGACGACTTTAAAATAATCTCCTTGTCTAACCATACTTATGAACTCTCCATTCATGAAAGCCTTCTAATCAATAAATACAAGCCTTCACTTAATGTGCAAGGAAACTCCATTCCACTTAACCTTTTTTAATTTCTCTTTATTTTACTTCCTAACTTCCTTATCATGTATCCATTCGACACCGCTTCCTTAGTAGTAATTTAACACCTTTTTGTAAATATTATATCTTGTCTTAACATCCTATTCATCATTTGTCTGAAGATGTCTTGAGTAAAGACGAAACGTTACAATAAATTTAATTTTACAATTTGTTTTTTTTTATCTATTTCTATGGCTCTAATCAGCGTAGCTTCGGCAGATAACGTTGACCACGGTCTAAATAATTCTTGATAACATGCTCAACCTCATCCAATAATTGATTTTTAGTGGCAAAAAATGGATGCAAGCGTCTAACTAAATTAACCAGGTGAAACAAATAAGCTGTATTTCAGACTCAATTATTCAAAGGTGACATCATATAAATGCATACATAATTAATTTTGTTGGTTTTGTGTGACCCCATACTAAATTCGTGAACGGAAAGGCTTCGTCGGGTGCAAGTATTTCAAGGCTTTACCCGTGTTTGTCATTCATATGTTCAAATTCGTTGTCTTTTTATATTCTGTGAAATCCACACTTACATTATTAGTAATTGTAATAACTCTAAAGAAAAATACGTTTATTTTGTTTGCACCGTTGAACAGAGCGGGAGATAAACGTTTAGTCGGTGTTTGCATCGGATACATTACTGGTGGGAACTGGCATGAGTTGTGAAAAGAATTCATGGTAATTACTTTGCCCTGTTGAGCATAGGCACTTTAATGTAACTTTCGCTTCGACGTGGCCTTTTGACGTCACATTAAAATTATTCGTCATTCACATAAGCCATGAAGTGTACGAAATACAATCGCGATGCATCAAGTTTCTTATATTATTCGCACAAACGAGATGTAGGTAATTTTAGTGATAACCTGCGCAGTGTACACCTAACCTGTATAATATCGTGAGCTGTTTAGTTTTAACTTCTAAGGAATATTTATACTTTTATAAAATCACATTCATTGAATCATGCTACATCCAGCTAAAAAACAGAGATCAGTTTTGTTCGACGCCCCTATCTCTCTCTCTCTCAATGTGTAAAAATCTCCACCAAAATTTGACTATGTTAATTTCGCCTATTTTTTTGACTTAAGCCGATTTCCCCTTCACTCAGCTACAAGACTCTTTGTCTCCCAAATATGTGCCATTAATTTCCGTTAATGGTGCTGATGCTGAATACTTTAAAGTCAGATTTAGCATCACGGCGATTTGTATTCAAAATGAATTTTGGCTTTGATGTTGTTTGGAATTTTAGCAGATTTCCCCTACGCTCAACTTTTACACTCATTGTTTTCTAGTCAAGCTTATATTGGACATAAAATTAAGAAATACGATCATTCAGCCTATTTCTAAAGGGGTAAAGGACGGAGGGAAGGAAGAATCGCTAATTGACTAATGAGAAACATTTTTTCTGAACATTTTGTCATTAAGATATTTAAAAATGGAATTCAAATTGAATGTCAAAAACAGTTACGGACACACAACAGTCTAGTTGTTTTTATGGCTCATTTTATTTGCGAAATTCTGACATAATAGATATATACATGTAGTATCTTCTCTACTCCAATCATGACGTCGAAGGACAGAGGTTCTCTAGCACATTTGAAATAAGATTGTGAATCAAGTATTTACCCTTGATCTTTTTCCAAACGATGATTTCTCTGCAAGAAATTTTATTTATTACGGTTATATTATGTCAACACAGTGTTCGAAAGGAAGTGCTTAAATTGGGCTGTCCAAGGTGTGTTTGCCGTTTTAATAGATGTTCGTTCATCATATCAACAACAGTTTAAGTTTCTGTGAAAGCTACTTACCGAGAATGAAGAAAGACTCCACCATCCTTTGCATGTGGTGTCAGAGTGTATCTAAGAGTCACGATGTTTTCTTTATCAAAAATTTCATCAATGTGAACGCCGTTCCAGCTAACAGTTTGTGGCCCTGATGTTGTTGCTTTGAAATACTTTCATAATGCTGAAATATAACATGAAGACATAAAATTCAGCTGTTACAACTTACATAACGTTTTCGAGTGTGCGGGCAAGTTTTCGACTTGGGATTCATTGCTAACAGTCTACAATCAACCAACCTGCGCGCTCGATAAATACCAAGCAGTGATGCCAACCTGTTCATTTTGCTTTTAAAGTGAGTCAAATTAATTTTTGAATTTTAACTTGTTTCACCGCATATGGTATACCGAATCTGGTTTTTAGTTTGTCTCATACTTTTTCACAGTAGAAATCATTCTTAAAAAAGTTGATTTTCCTGAATTTGAACAGTGATCAAGTATAGGGTGGAAATAATCACTCGAGATAACTGAACAACCCCCAAGCACTTACACATTAAAGCCCTTTGTGAGTCCGTTTGTCATCTCATTAAGCCTGATAAGAAATGAAAAATATCTCATTTACCCGCTTTGCCTACAACTGGCTCTGCACCTTGCCCAATCAATACACAGTCACGAGTGTAGAATTTCAACGCCTTTTGAGGCTGTCCAGCAAGGAGGAAAGCGTAATTTTGGTCAATTATTCTTTTGAGTGTTTCTTCCACTAGACAAAACAAAAGAGTAGATAAGTATTTTGATTTTAGAAACACAAATGATTATGGTCATTATTATTCTAAAAAGATAAGTCATTGATTCACACGAAACCTAAAGACAACTTCTATAGCTAAATTTAATTTCTCCGTATAAAAATCAGTTGAAATTGATTCATGCTTAAAGTGAACAAAAATTTTGTGCAGTTTTATACTTTGTAACTTCTCGATGGAAATGTTTCAGCCCCATACCTGATGAAGGTTCATCTTTGAATCAAGATGCTGAATCAACAGACAAAGGATAAAATATCAACAAGAACGATGCCAGTAGCGATGTATTCATCTCGAATTGTTCGTGTTAGTTTTCCTAACGTTTTCCTCGCGAACTGATGAGTGCTAGGCTTCTTGATGGTGTACCTTTTGGTAACATATACTTCATTTATGTACTCTCACACCCATCAACATCTTCTTTCCTCCCAATGGCTACTCCAAAATGAAATTATGTATTCAATATTCATGTGTTTCATATAACTCTCAATGGGTAAAAATCTCCACCGGTATTTGACTATGTTAATTTAGACTTTGATTCTTTTGTTGACTTAAGCTAATTTCCCCTTCGCTCAGCTACAAAACTCTTCCCAAATATGTGTAATTAATCTCCGTTAATTGTGCTGATGCTGAATACTTTAAAGCCAGATTAAATGAATGTGTGTTTCGTTTAAATGTGCGTCGCTTAGTGAAATTGAAGATATTTCAGCTCTTTTGATTGCGTCTAGACTTAAAGAGGGAACGTTTTGTCTCAATGACCGGGGAAATACGTAGTTTCCAGGCCTAAGAAGGGAACTGGACGCGCGCGTGTAAAAAGTTAAATGTGATTTGTTAACAAAAGGCATGGGAAATGAACAGAAGTAAATTGGAATTATGCAATTCTTTCATCATCGATCACGACTTGTAGTGCCTGTATATCAGTTTCATTCTTCGTGCAAAGGTGAAACGGAACATTTTATTTCATAGCTTTCATTTTATCGAAATCTTTAGTTTTTACATTTTGAAAAGAATGTCCCTGAAATTTGATATTGATCTGACATTGAAAATGAACATTTGTACATTGTTGAAGAGGAAACATATAGATAGTTGAAACAAAAATAACTTGGAGTAGTTCGCCTACATGTGGCAGCACTCATTGTTAATTTTGTGTTTGATGTTTTTTGGACAAATTCATTTCCCCTATAACTATTTTTTAGCCTCAGCATTTCCCCTACACTCATCTACAACCTTATCTGCACCGTTTAGTTGTTGATCTTACCATTTATGTTATTTTCAACGGAGAGAGGCTTGGTGACGAGTACCTCTGTTAAACGGACACCTCCATTAAGCGGACGCTAGTCCGTTCGCCGAGGGTGTCCGCTTAATACAAGTTTGACTGTATAATTTTCTTAAAAAAATAGAATTGCAGAAGTAAAAGTTAAGGTGTTGCTTCGCCATTACTCCAGACGTTCAGGGAGAATAAACATTCTAGAAACGCATTTTACCTCATCTTCAAACGATGGCTGTTGGTGATTGATGTTAGAGTGCAATTGTTTTATTTTAACTGTTTTTAGATAAGACAAGCCTTACGACGTCTCTGTCAGGTTATTGTTGGTCTATGTTCGGTGATACAAGCTGCACTACCGACGATTCTTTCCGATTGTCCAGCTCAGTTCTTTGAAAAAACACTCAATCTTATGAAGGTAAAGTACTTACTTTTCAAGAACAATGGTGGACTTCCTAGTGGTGGGGGGGGAGGGGGGTCCTTCAAATACAAGTTAAAAAACTTCAGGTCCGTCAATGTATATAGAACTTAACCAACTCATCACTGATTAAAAAATTTAAAACAAAGAATTTTGTCACATCTTATCATTATGTCATATAGAAAACATCAAATATATTCTACGAAAGTCTTTCGTTGCTACCAGAACATTAAAAAAAACTAACCCTGACCTCAATGTTCAAGTTTTTAAATTCAATACAATATTTAGTTTATAATACGCTCGGACGCTCCCCATCAATTTATTATATTTCCTTTTTATTGTTGTAATTTATGTATCATATTACTTTTATATAAACCCTGTATCACCTATTATTTCACTCATACTGAAGATGGCATCATGAGATGTTGAAACATGCCTATTCTCAAAAAACTTGTCGTTTATATTAAATGTGCATTTAAACAAAGGTTAGTGAAATCGTCTCGCATTTTTAATTCTTGTGTCGTCATACAAACCTTTCATCAATAAAGTAGATTCCCTGTTCACCATACCTAAAAACCAACATTATTAAGAAAAAATGTAGTTAACTAAGAAAATACTAACAGTTTTAGGTAAATTTTGACGGGAACTTGTCTTATAAGAAACTTGTGGTCTAGATTGAGCTTAATTACTTCCACACACTTGGTCAGCCTAAATTGTCGTTTCTTTTCCTTTTACACATTCATGATGTTATATGAGATTATCATTACTTTATTATAACCACATTTTGTAGACATTGAAAATCTTTTCATGCATTCAAGTATCAATGATTTACACAATTTACACTGTCTGATTTCATTTCCATAAAAGTTGAAGTATGTTTAGTATGCTCGCGTGACCAAAACAAATATATATTTTATGATGCAAATGTTGCATAAATATACTCATCAGACAACTCTACGAGATGCTTTAATAGGTCTGGTTGACTTTATAAAATGTTGATTAGAAATCGCTACTTTTATCGCTTTTATAACCTTCAAGTTCTTTTCAATGTGAGATTTTCATTTGTGGTGAATACATTGCACATAGTTGAAATTTTCATAACAATAACTCGACTTTAGCATCGACATTTGAAGTATGTTTACAATATACACATATAATTAAAAATTCTATGACAATCTTTAGTATAATTCAATTTGATCACGCTATATTTTCATTGAAAATACTAAGCCCGCTCAGAATTGGTTTCTGTTGAATGAAATGCAAATAAATGTTTTCACTATTCTATCTTCATTGTTAACTTTTTACACAAGAGAAATAACCTAATATACAGCTAAAACAACAAGAAATTATTTACCCCCCGGGGTTTGTTTGAATTTTAAATATTTCTTCAGAAATTCACATTGTTGTCAATATGTCGCAATTTCTATGTAATTGTATCATATGATATGTAAATAATGGCATTCCAGATTTGAGATATACTGAATACCCAGCCAAGGTCTCTCGACTAAACAAAGCTTCCATTCTAAAAGCACATTCGCTGAGTGGGTCTTCAAAATCATCTCATGACTATTCCAAGACCATATTTTCACTCCACTACCTGATTTGAAATATTTTAGCAAAAATCTTACCGTCGATAGACGAGTCTGCCTTTGATACGTAAGAGCACAATTTCTGATTCACACTCGATGAGCACGTATGAATGAGAAACCTCCCCCCTCACTTCCAACCTTCTTTGGAGTAATTTGTGTCAGGAACTTGTCTTAGATTGAGTGCAACTTAGTTCCTCCATGCATTCGATCTGCTGAATTCTCGTTTCTCTTCCTAAGGCTTTCTTATGCCGTTTTTCTATTGTCACCACTCACCAGAAGGACAAAAAGTAATAAAAATAGCAAGGCAAAAGATTGATGTCACAAATATATTGATGTTTATTTTAAATGCTAGTTTTATATCATAATTTGTACGCAAAAAGGTTCCTTTCAATAGAGACATTCTTGGTATGTTTGGTATGTTCTTCTCCCCTTCTACCTACGCACGCCTTCGCATTTTGCCAATATGCATACAAACGAATTAGTGAAGAAAATAACGTTAAATCCAAAGAATTCTTTGAAATTTGAATGATGTGCTATAGAAGTTTAAACATTTAAGATTCTGTCGTGGTCTTTTCTAGAATACTGCTTTAGTAAAAGTGACTTATTAATATCTCACATAGTGAACTAAATTGAACCTATTGCACATTCTTAGACGCAGCATGAACATTCAAATTTTTGGTGATAGTTTTAATTATGTTACCGTCAATGACTGAGAAAGCCATTTTAAGGTTTTTGTATATCGTAATATTCTAGTTTGGAAATCTTCGCACCGTATGATTTTGTTACTATAAAACAGATGACCATCTATCTTGTAAAAATTTACTCACTATTTTGTAAAAAAAAGGTTGTCAAAAATGAGTAATGGCAAGGTTATACTCAGTCCATTATGAAGTTCAATAAACCACAATCCCCAGCCTTATTTGCGCACTCTTTAGTCATAATAAAATTAGCTAACACATGGCCATAATTTTTCTACTTCAAGCATTTTGATCACAATTTTGTAATGTTGAAAAATACAAAACCGATTTCTTCAAGAAACACTGTCAAAACAAGTGCTCATTTTCTTTCTTTCTTTAGAAAAGCCGTTTATTACTTAGCCATATTAATTAGCTATGTCGAGCGTTTATATCCTTTTTAATTTACTTAGTCACGTGTTTTTCTTTCGTGACGCCCGCGCGTAAGACGTATAGAAGAGATTTTATTCGTTCTTGACTAGGCGTTTCATTATCATACGTGTGAATTTCTGCCAATTCGCTTAAAAACCGTTTTCCGCTGTCGTACTATTTCAATGATTCAATCTGTAATTGCAAAGAAGGGCGATTTTGGTTTTTTCACTTTCATTATTTCTGTTACAACAAGAAGATTGAAAGAGGTCTGTGTTTGGCGAGCAACTTCAGACACCAATAATCCATAAATACAAAGACAAACAGACATTTGAGGAAGGTGAATAAAATAGTTTCTTATGACTTAATTCTTATGTCGTCATATAAATTTTCAATCAATAATATTGATTGCCATTTTTCCTTTTGTGAAAACCAACATTATAAAGACAAACGCAATGTACGAAGTATATAGCAAAGCAAATTTGTGACACGAAATTGTCTTTGATTGAGCAATTTTTAATTACTTAACGCATTTGGTCAGGGCAAATTCTTGTTTCTCTTCCTTATTCGTTAATTATGACTTTTTTATCAACATTATTAGTTTAAAATGAATGTTTAAACCCAGAAGTATCGTTGCATGTTTGTAGATGTACATTGTTTAGGTCAGTACAGTCCTGAGAAAGACTGCTGGTGTTGATGTTGAATGATGTTTCGACAACATTAGCGGTAGTCATCTTCAGAACGAGTCAAGTAAGCAGTCTGGTTAGCGGTATTTGTAGTCTTGTTCATACGTCATCGTATTGTCTGTAAATGAAATGTGTGGGTGTCAATTGTGTATTGTCATCATGAAAGTAATGTTTGAGGTTGTGAATAAGTCGTTTTCGTAAAGTGCAGGTAATTGTTGTATCTGTTCAGTGGATTTTGTTCTAAGTTGGTATGTACCAAACTTCTAACGTAAGCCCTCCGTCTGTAGTCAGTGTTGTAAGTAATGCATTTTTAGTGTCCCAATGAATGTTTTGTCAGTTGGTGATGTTCTGCACTGTGATTAGTTTTGTCTTGTTTCTTTGTTCCTCGTTTGTGTTCAGTAAGTCTTATGTTTAAGTTCCTGTCAGTCACACCGATGTAGAAGACGTGGCAGTCGGAGGAGTTTATTTTGTAAACTGCACCTTAGCGCTCGTTTGATTGAAGATGGATGAACAACAGTCTACAACGCAGAATAAATTGCTTTTTAAAACATAGAAAATTTCCCAAACATTGCAAAGGTCATTCGACAAACTGAAGATTGTCAACGTTATCAATAAAACGTAAGCACTAAGGCACTAAATATCATTGAATGAATCTGTTTAAAAGTCAAAGTGAGTTTAGTCTTATAAATTAAAGCACGACGTACTGATCGACACAAACTATTGTAACAAATACAATATATAATATAGATGCAAAATTAAAAACTAAAGCAGAATCAGCCAGAAAATGGTTACGGTTTCCACGCAGAATTTTCCTCATTATGTTATTTATCCTAATTTGAATAAACTTCCTTCTTTCAAAAGCTCTCACTTGATGTATTTCCCTCGTTGTCGCTTTTTACTTTCGTCACTTGACAATGTAGACTTTGAGCCATATTTAATGTTAGCTAATAAATATCTTTACAAGTCGCTACACACATCAATTTTCATGTCTTCAAACACACACAAACGATACAGAATCGATGAAATAACGGGACTAAATAGTGGACTATAATATCGTCTACTCTTTGTAAAACTTTACTGCAGAGAGAGATCTAGGATAATTTGTAGAATGGTGCTCTAGTTTTTATAAGATCTCGTTCGGTCAGTTTAGTTTCACGCTTGTCAAAAATGCAGTACGCGCGTTCAGCGGTTTTCTCAAGAAAATAGTCATTTAATGTCATGTAAAGTGTTGTAAAGTAACTCTTGAATATTTGCCGGTAAACTATCATTAAATCAACAACATAGCAGGAGCATTAAGTTTTATTTGGATTTTGTTAGTATTTTAAAATTCCCTTCATTTTTCTCTCATTATCGATTTCTTCTTTTTCCCTCGTAATTTGCAAAATTTTCTTGCAAAGGTAAAATCTTGTCAGTTGAAAATGCTGTAAACATATTAATATATATTAATACGATTGGTTGAAATTTTAAAAGAAATAAAGCATTTTATTTGAATGGAGTATTCATACAAACACAGCTAATTTTGCTAATGTTTTTGGTTTTGACAGAGACGCAGTAGATTTATACACAAGCTTTACGAGTACAAATCATCAAAACGCCATGCCTCTTGATAGCTTAGTGGTCTCTATATTTCAATTTTTTGCGAACAAAGCCCGAGATGCTGCAGCAGACAGGCTAGAAAACGGTGACGTTGGTAATGAAGGATTTCGCGAACTTATCAAGCGAGATTTACACGACATCAAAACAAAGCTAGATAATCTTTCGAAAATAGACCTTTGCTCCAGTTTGAACTACTTGGAGGAAGGATTTCTTCTACTTTTTAATTGCATTGACGAAGTAGAAAATGATAGAGAATGTGAAGAAGCAAGTAATAATGATGAGTCTCAGGCAACTTGTACTGCCATCACCACCAGGTATGATGTTTCCCGTGCAATACAACATTCAAAGGATTTTAAAATGGCAAAAAAACGATTTGAAAAATCCCGTGAGAAAGCAACGGATGTTTTCAACAACAAAAATTTAAGCTTGGAGGACAAAATATTTGCCGTAATTGTTAAGATCATGGCACAAATTTTTGAATGTCCGGAGCATCAGGAGACTGTGATTGATTTATGTTTATCTTATATAAAAGGCTGCATGAATTGGACGGTGTTCGTAAATGTTCTCTGTTTCTATCGGTGGTGGCATGAGAGCGATGTTCAAAAATCCCAAAGAATGGAAAACATGAAGTCTGTCATTCTTCTCAACCATCATTTATATCAGTTCATTTTAAGGATCAACAACAATCATGATCATTTATCAACTTGGCCAAGTATTGAACTTGGAGACGGAAAAATTTTTAATCCAATACAGGACTGGCGCAAGGAATTCGATGTCGAGTCTTGGGATAAAAATTGATTGAATCTTCAAGAAATGGAAAAATGAAACCATGATGTTTGAACTTTTGGACAAGATGACTATAAATGAACATTTTGCTCCAATATTGACATCACCAGTTGAATTAGTTATGGATTTATTAAGAAGTGATATTTTGGTTGCTGGAGACTACACAAAACGTGTTGAAATATTTTCATGGAAGGAGGAGAAATGGTTTGAGATTGCATCAATGGAAGATTATCACAGGGATGCTTCATCATTTATTTATAATGATAATTTATTTGTCGTTGGAGGAGTGGGCAGCAAGTCAATGGAGACATTGAATATAAAACAGTTTCCTTTAACATGGAGAAAATTTCCTGCGGAGCTTCCTTATGAATGTTGGGGTCATCAAACTGTTGTTTATAAACAACAAATCTTTCACATTGGAGAATACATTGATGGTAAAGGAAGATCAGATTTGATCAGTGAAATAAACATCACTGGTACAACATCTCATGTTTTGAAAGAGTTGTGTCATATGCCTGAACCACGTTATGGCCATGGAGCTGTTGTTGTTGATGATAAAGTTCTTATTTTTGGAGGAGAGGAAATATATAGGAAAGCTTTGTCCAGTGTTTTGGAATTTGATCCAAGGACTCTTACATTTAAGGAAATGCCTCCATTACCTCATCCAATGTATGGAATGGCAACAGTTCAATGGAGAGATCAAGTTGTTCTTCTTGGAGGTTCTGATGGAAGAGAAACATTGAACAGTGTTATCATGTATGACTGCAAAACAGGAAAGATTACAGTCTTACCATCCATGTTGGAAAAGAGGTTTGGGTGTTGTGCAGTTATAACTGGTGATACAATTGTTGTCATGGGAGGTAATTATCTTTATTCAGTGGAGTGTTTCCAAATGGGAAGTAGTTCTTTATGGACATACCTTCCTTCAACGAATGAATCACGACGGGTAGCCATTGCTGAAGTTTTACCTTTTGGACAAAAGTATGTCTAAGACACGAAATTTCATTAAGTTTTGTAACGTTATAACTCATCAATGTTCGTTTGGACTACATTGGATGATAAATTTGTAAAATTTAAAATGTATAGTTCAAAAGTTCATATAATCATTAAATATTTTGATAAATTTCTGAAATAGGTGAAAGGCTTTTTTATCTTAATAAGTTTGAGTTTTTAGAGCATAGTTTATACCTTTTTTCTTGTCCTTGTTTCATTGCAGTTTATTGAACAATAAAATACAAGTTTTCCATGGTAAAAATTACTTTACTTAAAAAATTTTTCCTAGTGGTAAAATACTTTATTTCCCAGTTTACAATCCACCACATTTACAAAAATCTACTAATTATCTTACACATTTGAAATGTTGTGAAGAAAATCAGTTTGTAATTAACTTCTCATTCGTGAACACAATCACTTTCTGCATTACTGAAGTAATAATATTTAAGCCTGGTTCACACGAGTAAAATAAGCACAAACGTCGAGACTTTTGTTTTTTTTTGCTCTAGAGATTAATAAAGACAAACGCATTGGGATTTTCTTTAAATCTTTTTTTGTTCTTCTTTTGTTCTTCTCTTAGCTTATGCTTGAATTTTTTAATGAGATTTCAACACCATTTTAAAAGAAAGCAAAAGAAACAGTGGATTTTACCCTGTATCCTACCACGTTTGGTAATCTTCAATAAATGTAGGTCCATTTGAGAAATAGCAGTTGAGTAAGATTTCCAATCTTTTTCGTGGATAAAACTTTTAAGATCAAATTTTCATACCTTATGCACTGCTTGTGCATGTTTAACCATTACGTCCAGTGATGCATTTTTTATGCCATGCTTTCGGTCGGAAGATGAGTAGAAATTTCCAAATAAATAGTAAATATTCTATTTGGAGATGAGATAAATATTATATCACAAACAATTTGCAATATTATGTTTTATTCGTTCATTTTTACGCTTTTATTCGGTGGTTCGTAATCGTAATTCTGCAAAATCTCAAGATTTGTCTTGTAACCTAGCAACCGCCTTTTCTCGCACATTTCAATGCATACTCACGTGATTTCTCCACGTATTCCGCCTATCTTCAGAGGACGGAACCATTGAGTTCTATAATAACTGGAGCGGCTAGATCTCAAAAGATGATTCAAGTTTGTTTTTGCGTTTGAATTTCGTATCAGAGTAATCATGTAGACGTATTTACATGACTTGTGAAAATTTTTAGCCAGAAGAATCATCGCAAAGGTAAGAAATAAGAATAAGCCATTTTATTTCAGATATATTTGTAAAACTTGTAGTTTATGGTAACATTTCATCAACAGTTTCAAACTATTCATAGCATGTCTGAGATTCAATTAGTGGCAAGCACAATCGTGACGAATCAATTTAATTTTCCAGCTGATTTTATCTTGAATTAAAGTATTTTTCATTCACACATTACTATATTTTGAAGCACTCATTTTAATTGCACAATTTGCATTGATACCATAACAATGATTTTGTTGCATGTCAAATAATATTGATAATAATTTTATCTGCATCTATAATGTGTTGACAAGGTTATGGCAAAGTCAACATTAAGGCAATTTGAATGAAAAACTTGACCATATTGATCACAACTCAGCCAGTCTTCATTGTCATCCTCTCTGCATATTTTGCAAACAGCCACATTTCGCTTCCTAAGATATTCATAATGAATTCCATATAAAAATATTCAACCAAATGTTATTTATGCCTTATCGTGTGATATCATCATAGCAAGACCCAAGTAATGTTGAAAGGATTTGTTTTCTCTCAGTCTCCATGTTTGCTGGTTTTTGATCCAAGTCAAGGGCTAGACATCGAGCAAACTGATGCGAAATGAGGAGTTATTGAATAATCCTGTTTGTAAAAATAGCTCTTCAAGTAAAGTTAGGCTATTTTAAGCTTACCAAGCATATGTACACTCCACAGTTATACATATCTTCCTGTTTACAATGGAGTGGCTCAAAACATTGCCATGAGCTTGAGTTCCAACCTGTTTTTACATCTACCAAAGCACTAAAGCAGTGACAAACAATGACCACATGAATGATAATATTGATTGTTGAAAATGATTTTTGGGCAAATCTTTTAAGATCAAGTTTGATAATTACCTTAGTTTGTTTATATGATACATCATCTGTGTATTAGGTGTCTTTTTGTCTGCACTTCCTCCAAGTGAGTCAAAGTAGAGTCTTGTTTTTGTGAACTTATCTATAGTCTATATTACACAAAATTACTGTTGCATTTAGTTAAATATTTTCTCTTTGTTAATTAAGGAGTTATATGAGTTAATGTTTCTATAGATACTAATTTTTGCATGTAAATCTGTGGACTCATGTGGGCTAAGTATGTGTATAATGCATGTCTATATTTTATTATTTAGCTCAAATACTTACCAGTAGTGTCCAATGAATGCCATGAATGTTGATTGGAAAAATGATAATTTTGGTTTGGTGAAAAGATATATTAGCCTATGTGCATCTTGTGCTTGAGTTGTTTTTAATAATCTCTGAAATAAATGATTCTGCTGCAAGAACAGTAGTGTAGTTTTCAGTCAAACTCCACAAAAAAGCGTCAATTACCTAAAATCAAAAGAAAGCATAGTTTGAAGAGATTTCCTCTCCAGTTTTACATGTACATAACACTCATGGTTATAAACAATTACTTATAATGATAAATAAGAAGACTATATTAGACGCTTTTTTCTCTTACAGAGTCAGTCAGCCAACCAGGTTTGAATGTGGTGACTTCTTTTTCAATAATTTTTAATTCTTTTTCAGTTATGTCTTTTGGACTGACAAGTGACCAAAGATCTACTGTTGGTACATTCACAGGACCAAATTCCGGCACAGTACCCCCAAGACACTGTCTTTCTGTAAATGCATTTATTCGTTGTCTTGGAGTCAGAAACAATGAATTGTATGTCGACTGTTTGCAAGTATCAGTGTAGGTGCTATATTATTTAAAAACATAGTGCATCAAGATACATTCACTATTTCAGCTCGTTTTGCAATGAATCACTGACCTTTCTTGTTGTTCCAAGTTGTTGATTGGCGGTACTTCAGTTCTTTCTTGTGATGCCTGGATTTCTTCTGTTTCACTCTCATACAACAATTCTTGCTCAACTGGCTCTTCAAGTGCATTCTGGGACGTAAATTGTGAGTGAAAATTATAATTTGTAAAAAAGAGCTCGTCAGTCGAGGTTGCCAAAATGAAAATTATCTCACCTTGTTTGATGATACAGCGCACTTTTTACTTATTTCTGGGATCATTGTTGTGATATAGTTATAAGCATGCTTCTTTTTGCGACGGAGAGGCAATTTTTTATGAAATACTTGATGATACTCCACACTTGTTACTTTCAAACGCTTTTTTGTTGGACTATTTCTAATTGGCAAACCTTCACTGACTGGGCAATTTCCATTTAAGATTTCGTGCATTTTATTTGCGTAGTCAAGCGCTTCTTGCAAAGGTTTTAGCTCGTTGACGGTGAATGCCTGATTTCGAACAAGGCTCAACTTCTCCAGCAATAAATTTCGCGTTTGTGTAGTTTCCTTTAGTTCGCAAGATTTTTCTGTCTTAAGTTTCTTTTCCTTTGTTTCACGTCTTCTTTCATCCTCTTGCACTATTACGTCATAAGTATGCACGACAATCTCTGCATTGTTCTTGTTTTCATTATCAGTCTCCTCGCGTTTTCTCATTTTCATTTTCTTCTAGATTCAAGCCATTGTCCAATGTTATAAAAACGATGTTTCCATAGTGTTGTGGGAGGGCTGTGAAATGCCATTCTTCAAAGGTATTGAAAATTGCGTACATGTGTTTACAGGAAAATTGCGTTTTTCTCCATGAATCACAGCTACACTTTGAAACGCTGAGATTGATTTCATACCATTTAGTTTTGTCTGATGAGCTTTTAACGCAGAAATCACCGTTGCTATTGTCGATGCAATCAACATCATTATCGCGAAATTCGCGCGATGCGAATGAACTTTTCATACAGTGCTTGATAAAGTGGTTTGGACGATTATGCAAATAGTATGGAACATTCTCGTTGCATTTTCTGTATTGGCTGCTTTGTTTGAAGTTGATGTCTTTGTAGTGCTGATAAGAGTCTGGAAGAAATGACTCTACCATTGTTGTAACTACACCATATCTTGATTTTTCTCAACAATTACGAAGATATTTTTCATAATGCAAGTGCATTGAAGATGAAATACTCATATCAAACATGAAATTGTTTACCAATTATTATTAAACATAACTTGTCAATGTCAAATGTAGCTTGTCGTTGTCTAAAAAAGATGACATTACAGCAAAATCTTCGTTCAGCCACTTTATATTTACTGAATATTACTAAATATTACCAAAAATATTTCTCAGTTTCTTTATTATTAACTGAAGTCATTTCTAAATATATCTGCACCGTTTAGTTGTTGATTTTACCATTTATGTTATTTTCAACGGAGAGAGGACTGGTGACAAGTACCTCTGTTAAACGGACACCTCCATTAAGCGGACGCTAGTCCGTTCGCCGAGGGTATCCGCTTAATACAAGTTTGACTGTATAATTTTCTTAAAAAAATAGAATTGCAGAAGTAAACGTTAAGGTGTTGCTTCGCCATTACTCCAGACGTTCAGGGAGAATAAACATTTTAGAGAAACGCATTTACCTCTTCCTCAAACGATGGCTGTTGGTGATTGATGTTAGGAGTGCAATAATTGCAAAATACTTAATTATTTTTTAACTGTGTTTTAGATAAGACAAGCCTTACGACGTCTCTGTCAGGTTATTGTTGGCCTATTTTCGGTGATACAAGCTGCACTACCGACGATTCTTTCCGATTGTCCAGCTCAGTAATTTGAAAAAACACTCAATCTTATGAAGGTAAAGTACTTACTTTTCAAGCACAATGGCGGACTTCCTGGTGGTGGGGGTCCTTCAAATACAAGTTAAAAAACTTCAGGTCCGTCAATGTATATAGAACTTAACCAACTCATCACTGATTAAAAAATTTAAAACCAAGAATTTTGTCACATCTTATCATTATGTCATTTAGAAAACATCAAATATATTCTACGAAAGTCTTTCGTTGCTGCCAGAACATTAAAAAAAACTAACCCTGACCTCAATGTTCAAGTTTTTAAATTTAATACAATATTTAGTTTATAATACGCTCGGACGCTCCCCATCAATTTATTATATTTCCTTTTTATTGTTGTAATTTATGTATCATATTACTTTTACATAAACCTTGTATCACCTATTATTTCACTCATACTGAAGATGGCATCATGAGATGTTGAAACATGCCTATTCTCAAAAAACTTGTCGTTTATATTAAATGTGCATTTAAACAAAGGTTAGTGAAATCGTCTCGCATTTTTAATTCTTGTGTCGTCATACAAAGCTTTCATCAATAAAGTAGATTCCCTGTTCACCATACCAAAAAACCAACATTATTAAGAAAAAATGTAGTTAACTAAGAAAATACTAACAGTTTTAGGTAAATTTGACGGGAACTTGTCTTATAAGAAACTTGTGAATATAGATTGAGCTTAATTACTCCCACACACTTGGTCAGCCTAAATTGTCGTTTCTCTTCCTTTTACACATTCATGATGTTATATAAGCTTATCATTACTTTATTATAACCACATTTTGTAGACATTGAAAATCTTTTCATGCATTCAAGTATCAATGATTTACACAATTTACACTGTCTGATTCATATCCATAAAAGTTGAAGTATGTTTAGTATGCTCGCGTGACCAAAACAAATATATATTTTATTATGTAAATATTGCATAAATATACTCATCAGACAACTCTACGAGATGCTTTAATAGGTCTGGTTGACTTTATAAAATGTTGATTAGAAATCGCTACTTTTATCGCTTTTATAACCTTCAAGTTCCTTTTAATGTGAGATTATCATTTGTGGTGAATACATTGCACATAGTTGAAATTTTCATAACAATAACTCGACTTTAGCATCGACATTTGAAGTATGTTTACATTATACACATATAATTAAAAATTCTATGACAATCTTTAGTATAATTCAATTTGATCACGCTATATTTTCATTGAAAATACTAAGCCCGCTCAGAATTGGTTTCTGTTGAATGAAATGCAAATAAATGTTTTCACTGTTCTATCTTCATTGTTAACTTTTTACATAAGAGAATTAACCTAATATACAGCTAAAACAACAAGAAATTATTTACCCCCCGGGGTTTGTTTGAATTTTAAATATTTCTTCAGAAATTCACATTGTTGTCAATATGTCGCGATTTCTATGTAATTGTATCATATGATATGTAAATAATGGCATTCCAGATTCGAGATATACTGAATACCCAACCAAGGTCTCTCGACTAAACAAAGCTTCCATTCTAAAAGCACATTCGCTGAGTGGGTCTTCAAAATCATCTCATGACTATTCCAAGACCATATTTTCACTCCACTACTTGATTTGAAATATTTTAGCAAAAATCTTACCGTCGATAGACGAGTCTGCCGTTGATACGTAAGAGCACAATTTCTGATTCACACTTGATGAGCACGTATGAGTGAGAAGCCCTTCCCCCTCACTTCCAACCTTCTTTGGAGTAATTTGTGTCAGGAACTTGTCTTAGATTGAGTGCAACTTAGTTCCTCCATGCATTCTGCTTGCTGAATTCTCGTTTCTCTTTCTAAGGCGTTCTTATGCCGTTTTTCTATTGTCACCACTCACCAGAAGGACAAAAAGTAATAAAAATAGCAAGGCAAAAGATTGATGTCACAAATATATTGATGTTTATTTTAAATGCAAGTTTTATATCATAATTTGTACGCAAAAAGGTTCCTTTAAATAGAGACATTCTTGGTATGTTTGGTATGTTCTTCTCCCCTTCTACCCACGCACGCCTTCGCATTTTGCCAATATGCATACAAACGAATTAGTGAAGAAAATAACGTTAAATCCAAAGAATTCTTTAAAATTTGAATGATGTGCTATAGAAGTTTAAACATTTAAGATTCTGTCGTGGTCTTTTCTAGAATACTGCTTTAGTAAAAGTGACTTATTAATATCTCACATAGTGAATTAAATTGAACCTATTGCACATTTTTAGACGCAGCACGAACATTCAAATTTTTGGTGATAGTTTTAATTATGTTACCGTCAATGACTGAGAAAACCATTTTAAGGTTTTTGTATATCGTAATATTCTAGTTTGAAAATCTTCGCACCGCATGATTTTGTTACTATAAAACAGATGACCATCTATCTTGTAAAAATTTACTCACTATTTTGTAAAAAAAAGGTTGTCAAAAATGAGTACGGCAAGGTTAGTACTCCAGTCCATTATGAAGTTCAATAAACCACAATCCCCAGCCTCATTTGCGCACTCTTTTAGTCATAATAAAAATTAGCTAACACATGGCCATAATTTTTCTACTGCCAGGCAATTTTGATCACAATTTTGTAATGCTGAAAAATACAAAAACCGATTTCTTCAAGAAAACACTGTCCAAAACAAGTGCTCATTTCTTTTCTTTCTTTAGAAAGCCAGCTTATTACTTAGCCATAATTAGCTATGCACCGAGTTTATATCCTTTTAATTCTACTTAGTCACGTGTTTTCCTTTCGTGACGCCCGCGCGTGTAAGAAGTATAGATCTGATTGCACTAACGCATTTTGCGACGTCAGCGCCGGAAGTTATGTTCTGGGGTCAATGGCATTGTATTCTATTCAATGTATTCTCTATTCTATGATTATGGCAAGCCAATGATTTATTCTATAAGCAATACTGTGTGAAAGGTCCAATTGAGTAAAATGCCTCCAAAAAAACCAACTCATAAAGGTTTCCTGCCCGGTTACTACGCTAGTATAAGGTCAAAAGAATGTAGGGAGAGATATGAGGCAAAAATTTCATCGATACATTCTGTTGACCCATACAAGATACCAAAAAACGACTGGGAAGATTGTATGGAATTATGGCCGAATATTTCTTACATAAACGTGAGCATGTATTTATTGTTTTCGTAAGCTCATGCACACAGGACGAGCTTATGAACTACAAGTCTTTTAGTGTACCAGAACTTCGCGAATGGCTGGGTTCGAGAAGTTTTGTAAAAGAATTTGCGATAATCGGCTGATGATTGCGAAGGTATGTGTTCATTAATTATCTCTGCTTTTCATAAGCGATATCGCTTCTTTCTAATAGATAAATGTGAAACGCTAAATTCATTACATTTAAAAATTAGCAATGATTTGTTCAAACACCCTCCATATTTCTTATCAATCATTTGTTGCTATCTAGGTAAATCACCGCAAAAATGTCAGAGAAGCCACTGACTCCATGGGTTATCTGTGAGAAGGAAGGAAGATTTTATTTGGTCACTGTGATTGTATGGCTGGTTTAGGGAAAGCTGCCCCATGTAATCATCAGTGTCAGCTGAGTCAACACATAAAATATATATTGCATACATGTACTGAAACAGTAATGTTATAATGTCATTTTATTTCAGGTCCAAGCTCAATTGTTTTAGAAAAATGCAGCTATTGTGATTTTGTTGTGTGGAGGAGAAAATGCTCTACATAGAAAGAATTTTGCCCATGAGAAGTTTTGGAAAGAAAATGTATCTCTCGGTAGAGAAATTATTATCAAAGGATCCTTCCCAAGCTGCTTGGGAAATTTTACCGCACACATCAGGAAAAAAGAATACGACTCAATGTATAAAGTTACATACATTAGCAGATCCAGGGTAGGTCAGAATACATTATAGTAGCTAATTTTAAATTCAAAATATTTAACAGCAATGTTGCTGGTTAGAAATTTCAAAAAATATTTAAGAACCAGAACATCATCAATAATGTGTTATTGTAAAGTATTTTAAATCGAAATATATTTTATATCAACGTATTCTGACCTACGCTTTTTAGATCCACTAAATAATAAACATTCATCCGTCGGGACTACTGTTATTCAAAGCACAGCTGTTACTATTTTGTCAAGTGTGGTCTTTTCCTCCTTTGAAACAACAAAGCTCATTGGTTGAGTTGCAGAAAGGATTCCATATTTTTTCTATTGCCAATTACACGCTCCACATCGATTCTTACATTAGCAATCTCCTAGCTTGTTCCACCTCAATCCGCTTTAATTGCTTTTTCCCTTTTGTGCTGGTATCTTACACGGTAGCACAATATAATCCAACAGATTCTTGTATGTCAAACCTCTGTCAGATGTAGAATTACATCCTGGGGTAAGCTTTTCTAGAAGACCACACTCTTCTGTTATGTTTGTTACTGACACATACCACCCCATCCATCAGATATGAAGCTTAAAACTACCTTTGGGGAGTAATTCTATCAAATACTTACAGTGTTATGGTGTTTGTATGATGAGTATGTCTGTGCCCTGGCTAAAGGATTAGATGCATGGTCGATGAAAATCTCAAAACAATCAATTATCACAGCACCACAGTTTCTACCCCCCCTAAATTTAGGGGGGGGTCTTGGAATTTTCAAAAATGCCTTCTAGGGGTGGGTCGAAAAAATTTTGAATTTCTAGGGGTGGGTATGTCTATGTAGGGTGGTTCCTAGATTTTCCTATTAGAAAAATTAAAAATAGGATGAAATGCATCTATATGATAAAAAAAGGTTAATAACTTCAGTTCAACATCACCAATTTTTGCCTCCCCATGTTATTGCATCATCTATCTTCATATTACCCTATAAGGGACCAAAAATATCTCCCTAATTTGACACCATGTTATTGCATCAGCCATTGATTGCATCAGCCATTGATTGCATTAGCCATTGATTGCATCAGCTATTGATTGCATCAGCCATTAATTGCATCAGTGAATACATAGACTTTATCAGTGTTGTATATAGTATGCATAGAGAGACCATAAATAAGTCTAAAATCAGTTTCCCCCGTGAGAAAAACGTAATTTTTCGCCTCGTATGGGGTGGGTAAGGAAATTTTGGACCCAAATGTAGGTGGGTTACCAATTTGGGGTGAAGGTCTATGTAGGGGTGGGTTCCAACCTCTAGAAACTACATGAGCACATGCTGGGCAGTTCTTGCTAAAAATCCATGCATTGTTTGTAATAAGGCTTCATCAGGCCAATGGATATGGACAAAGCCTGCTATGTAGAATATCCATCATTTGAATAAAAATTCTGGAACAGTTGCCTCATGAATTCCACTAAACCTATAGGCTAAGTCTACTAGAAAGGTTGAGTCTCATCTCATTAATGTAAGAATGAGTCTCTGGAAAGGCTGTTTCTACACCTGGATGATTGTGACAAGAAGCCAGACATAAAGTTGTAAAGGCACAAAAGAAGCTTCCAGGTAGGTAAACCTGTATAGAAGAGTACCTTTTCATCATCATCTTTAAATGCATCCTCATTTATTTCCTTTTGCAATAATTTTTCTTTAAATCAGAATTTTCTTCCTAGAAAATCCACTCATCTTCAAGTAACCTCAGCTCATTGACAGTTTAATCAGTCTGTGTTGACATTTCATTTGCCTTTTGGTTCAGAGGTGTCCATTTTATCAACAACCTCATTGGGCTGCTCGCTTGACATTATATAAGGGTTAGCAGTTTCAGATCTTCTCTCGTCTTTCAATTGTCCCTTGGTAGCGAGACGATCGTTCTGTGTTTATCTTTTCACATTGTTGTGGCCAAGATTTTGACTTGGTGCCCAGTCTGGGTCATCTTCTTTGTAGGTCTGCTGGTTCGCCCAGGAATTAATTCATTCTACTATATGACATTTACAAGAAAGGATGATCGAAACTAAGGCAAAATCCCATTTGCTGACTGCTTCCGCATGGAATACAAAATGCCATACAAAAATATAATACAAAATATATGCAGATAATACAAAGATAATTATCAAAAATAACACATCACTTATTTAGCTAACCATTTAGCTGAACACTAGTATCTTGGTACTGATAAAGACAAGTGTTTTTAACCTGATATGAAGTGGTCGCTACACAACATCGAGCATTCGCAAACTTTTCTGGCGTAAGATCTTCCCGCGAATCTGTCGAAGCCATTCCTTTGCCTTTCAAGTTGTGTTGCTTCTTGTTCACATTCACATTAATTTTTTGACAGCAGGTAGGCGAAAACCGCTATTCTTTTCTCTATTAGATCGATTCGAGCATGTAAAACAGCGCAAAAGTGAACCATGATGACCGAAAGCCATTTCCTAATACTTATTTATAAATGGCGGCACCTTACTTGACCCCCAGAAGAAGCTGAACATCAGATGTGACGTCATGTGCAAAGGGTCAATTCTTTGTTTGCAATCACGTGATTTATTGCTTCAAAATGTTATTACGGCTTTCAAGTGAGGGGCTAAAGAACTAAGATGGCGGCCAATGCTACTATAACTAAGCCAACAGCAACAACGAAAAATTTACTATCCGAGTACTTTTTATCTCTTCAACCAAAGGCAAAGTCAAGATACCAAGAGAAGCTTTCCTTATGTGATGGACTGGATCCATATTCTCTAAAAAAGAGTGACTTTTTAACCGATCATTTTCCCTAACTTGCAGTTTCCTGACATTTCAAATTATTTGGTCGTTCAAACTTCATTTTATACGAAGAAACAAATGAAAGCATATAAAAGTCTTGAAGCTTACAACTTTTGTTTGTGGTTGGGTCCATGAAGTAAATCAAGACGTGTAATGGACAACAATTGCCTTGTTTTTGAGAGAGTAAGTAGATTTTGTTCCATTACAAGTAAACGATTGCTTGTTGTTGTTGATTTGAGTTAGTTCTTATTACTTTAATATATCTAGCATTTGTTTTAAGACAAATTTAGGACTCTATTCTTTTTACTAAGATCAACCATCACAAAGATCAACAGCAAGTCCTTTAAAAGTCTTGGGTCATTCTCAAAGATGACGGCGAAGTTCTTACAGCTCACTGTAATTGCATGGCTGGGTTATTGTTTGGAATAAGAGTGATATTTTCATTGAAAGAATTGTTCCAGACAAAGAATTGTGGGATACTATTGTGGTTAAGGCAGAATATTTTTTAGGAATTGCATACCACCAAGTCCTTGGGCAGCATTTTCAAAGCCTCTACTCACTTCCCACCTTCCAATTTTATATGATATATCTAAACTTAAAGATGGCATTATATTTATAACAAACATTGCTCTAGCCATCAAGTAGCAATAAATATATCAAAAGTTTTAGTTAAACAGATGAAGATGTTATTAATAAAATAGATGGAGATGTTTCTTACATGTTGCTCTCAAAGTTTTAAATTTTAGGGACTATTGTTTTACTCCACAGGGACTACAGATTGAGATAAATTAGTTAAAGCACAACATACGACTGCTATCTTATCAATTACTGATTGTACTTCGCCAGGTTTTTTGTACATGTACTCTACATGTTTTCGGGTCTCTTCCACTTCATATGGTGATAACTGTGTTTTCCCTTTTGTAAATGCTGGTGTTTTCAATGAAGCACAATAAAGCCCAACACTCTCCACAATGTTAAAACCTCTATCAGCAAGAACAACATCTCCAGGTAATAAATTGTCCAAAATACCACTAGCTTCAGTTAATTGTTTGTCACTCACTCTTCCTCCCCAAGCACTTGAGATGAAGGTCACAACCTCTTGGAGCAATCTCGATCAAAAATTTTACAGTATTATGATGTTTATAATTAGACCATGTTTGGGCACGAAGCTAATAAATTTGATGGTCGCCAATGAAAACTTCAAAGCAGTCTAGTACAACAGCAACTTTGCATCCAAAGGACTTTCTAAAATCCATAGGCATAGTTGCCCACACTGTTTCTCTGCTTGCCACCACAAGAAACTGGAGTCTTTGATGCATGATGGTAACAATTTTGTGAAAAATTCTTGATGCTGTGGAGCATGATACTCCAAACCTGTAAGCTAAATCCTGTAGTGGAAGATTTAATTTCAATCTCATCAGAAGCAAAAGTATTTGCTCGAACTTTCCCAAAGAAGATCTCTTCGTATGTGTTATAAAGGGTTCACAAAGGTTGAAAACTTGTAATAGTGCCAAGAAGTTTGGCAGCCCAGTGTAAAACTTGGTCTTGTCATTATCCTTTTCAAAGCTTTTTCTACTGATTAGTGCTTCAAGGGCTTTCTCTTTAAGTGTGCATAGTTCCTCATTGCATCTCTTTTATGTCTCTTCCATTGACTTTAAATAGTTGACTGTTAGGTCTGTTTGGCACTCTACATGTTGAACCTGTCTTTCAGTCTGGCATTCAGCATGGTTGATATTTGACTCTATTGAAGCAAAACTATGAATAAGTACAAAGTTTTTCGAAAAGCAAATATAAAAAATACTTTTACCTTGTTGTAAATATAAGTTATTTTCTCCTGCGTTCATGTTCTTGATGGACGTTAGACTCAGTCGAGCCAGCTTTTGTGAATCAAGGAGGGCAACGGCTGCTTCGGAATGGCGTCGTTTAAGGTCTCGCTTTTTGGTCCGATTGTTTCTTTTAATGGCACTTTCACGAATAGGTTTTAATTTCTGGTGACCCAATTTAAGTGTTGGAGCCCAATCAACGTCGTTCGTCGTAGACATTGCTTGACGACCTTGGAAACAAGAAAATTATGAATGTAAACAATTATATTCATAGAATCAATAGACATTTTGCAAGGCGCTTCAGTTCAAACTCTTTCCCAATTGCTTTTAATATTGAATTACAAAGTTCGTCTACGCACCTTTAACAAAATGTTCACCACATACGCGAGCATGGGGGCTTTCGATACCTTTCGAGGACAATGAAAGGTTTCTGAGCCACTTTTCACGACGTCTTTTTGTTAGTTTTTTTAATGTTTCCCATTTATGGAGAATTTCTTTCGGTATCCTATAATAACCTTTATCCTTTTCTCGATTAGCTCGATTAGAGCAAGTAAAAACTGAACAGCAATCCGGCATATTTGAATGAAGAACACATAAAGGGCAATCACGCTTATGATATAATCTATTTACCTGCCCTTCAGCTGGAAATATGAATACGTAATGACGGTGGAAATACAGGAAGTGACGTCTATTGCAAACAACCTATAGAAGAGATTTTATTCGTTCTTGGACTAGGCGTTGCTCATTATCATACGTGTGAATTTCGCTAATTCGCTTAAAACCGTTTTCCGCTGTCGTACTCATTTCAATGATTCAATCTGTAATTGCAAAGAAGGGCGATTTTGGTTTTTTTCACTTTTCATTATTTCTGTTACAACAAGAAGATTGAAAGAGGTCTGTGTTTGGCGAGCAACTTCAGACACCAATAATCCATAAATACAAAGACAAACAGATATTTGAGGAAGGTGAATAAAATAGTTTCTTATGACTTAATTCTTATGTCATCATATAAATTTTCAATCAATAATATTGATTCGCCATTTTTCCTTTTTGTGAAAAGCCAACATTATAAAGACAAACGCAATGTACGAAGTATATAGCAAAGCAAATTTGTGACACGAAATTGTCTTTGATTGAGCAATTTTTAATTACTTAACGCATTTGGTCGGGGCAAATTGTTGTTTCTCTTCCTTATTCGTTAATTATGACTTTTTTATCAACATTATTAGTTTAAAATGAATGTTTAAACCCAGAAGTATCGTTGCATGTTTGTAGATGTACATTGTTTAGGTCAGTACAGCCCTGAGAAAGACTGCTGGTGTTGATGTTGAATGACGTTTCGACAACATTAGCGGTAGTCATCTTCAGAATGAGTCAAGTAAGCAGTAAGGTTAGCGGTATTTGTTGTCTTGTTCATAAGTATCGTATTGTCTGTAAATGAAATGTGTGGGTATCAATTGTGTATTGTCATCATGAAAGTAATGTTTGAGGTTGTGAATAAGTCGTTTTCGTAAAGTGCAGGTAATTGTTGTGATCTGTTCTGTAGATTTGTTCTAAGTTGGTACACATACTTTCTAACGTAAGCCCTCCATTGTCTGTAGTCAGTGTTGTAAGTAATGCATTTTACCGAGTCCCAATGAATGCTGTGTTTTGTCAGTGGGTGATGTTCTGCACTGTGATTAGTTTTGTCTTGTTTCTTTGTTCCTCGTTTGTGTTCAGTAAGTCTTATGTTTAAGTTCCTGTCAGTCACACCTTTGTAGAAGACGTGGCAGTCGGAAGAGTATATTTTGTAAACTGCACCTTAGCGCTCGTTTGATTGAAGATTGATGAACAACAGTCTACAACGCAGAATAAATTGCTTTTTAAAACATAGAAAATTTCCCAAACATTGCAAAGGTTATTCGACAAACTGAAGATTGTCAACGTTATCAATAAAACGTAAGCACTAGCTGCACTAAATATCATTGAATGAATTCTGTTGAAAAGGTCAAAGTGAGTTTAGTCTTATAAATTAAAGCACGACGTACTGATCGACACAAACTATTGTAACAACAAATACAATATATAATATAGATGCAAAATTAATAAACTAAAGCAGAATCAGCCAGAAAAATGGTTACGGTTTCCACACAGAATTTCCCTCATTATGTTATTTATCGTAATTTGAATAAACTTCCCTTCTCTTTCAAAAGCTCTCACTTCGACGTATTTCCCTCGTTGTCGCTTTTTTACTTTCGTCACTTGACAATGTAGACTTCAAGCCATATTTAATGTTAGCTAATAAATATCTTTACAAGTCGCTACACCATGGCCTACTTAAATTACACGGCCTGATATCTTGCCACAGCAAGGTCAAAAATGCAAGGCCATTGAATTTTCCGGCGGTGCTCTTCGAAATTTTGATCTTCTTCCTTCAAAATTGTTCGTTGGCCTTACTTTATGGTATAATCTTGTAGCTAAAAGTCTAGCGATCATTTCAAGAGTTTATTGGCTGAAATTGGTCCTTTTTTCGCCGAGAAATCAAAGTTTATAAATTGGTGCGATCGGCGGTTGTTTTGTTTATCACGCGCTCGTCTTCGTTCGAAAATTTTAGCTCTTAAATCTATCGTGGATTATCTATATTTGGTATCTACGTGTTCCTGGTACTCTCCTCTACATTTCTACAAGATTTTTGGAGTCGAATTGTATACATTTTTTCTTTTATTTACGAAAATCTTCAAACCCATAATTATAGCGATGGTGCTTCCTATTTTCAACGGTGTTCTTCCTACTCCAACTATGCCTAAGAAAATTTCATCAAATCCAAACGATTTCATTGGTAAATCATACTATCCCTTACCTTTTCAAGCTTCCTCATTAATTGGAAATCTTGGTATTGGTTCTTCTCCATCCTGGCACATAAATATAAACAATAAATCGATCAAACTTAAAATAGAATGGTATGTTGAAAAGAACAATAACAGTTCTCATGAATTCCCCAAATCTCTACTTAACAGACTATCAGCCTACAACCTTGTACAACCTACCTGGTCCTCCTCCTTTGCTGAAGAGAAACTGTCTTTCAAGTTTGAATGGAAACTACTCTCTGATGCTACTAACCAACCTGAACAAGTTTAAACTCCATCTACTAACTTACCTTTCCATACTCCTGACTCTGGCTATACATCAACATCTAAATCGTATGTATATTCACCACCTGTGAGATGAAGTCTTTTTGTTAGTTGAGTCAGGAACATGTATTGTGTTGTGTTTAGGTTTGTCCTTGGATTTAGTTTGTGTAGATGGAGTATTTTTCCTGTTATGAGGAAAAGTACCTTAAAGTAAATGGTTTGAACCGGGAGTATCGTTATATGTTTGTAAATGATGATCGTCCAGGTTAGAGTCCTGAGAAGGACTGATTTTGTTGTTGACTGATAGCCGACACCTTAGTATTTTAGAGTCAAATGAGGAATAAATGTCAGGTTAGGAGCTAACCTGACGTTTACTCCTCATTTGACTCTGAAGATGACTACCGCTAAGGTTGTCGAAACGTCAGTCAACAACAACAAAAACAGTCCTTCTCAGGACTTTATTAACCTGAAAAGTACCTTGATGGTAAGGGGTGTATGGAGGAGTGAGAGGATTTAGAAAAGCAGCAGCATGATTGTGGAAGAGTTTGGTAGGAGTTGTAAGATTGGGTGGTGAATACATATGATTTAGATGTTGATGTATAGCCAAAGTCAGGAGTATGGAAAGGTAAGTTAGTAGATGAAGTTTTAACTTGTTCAGGTTGGTTAGTAGCATCAGAGAGTAGTTTCCATTCAAACTTGAAAGACAGTTTCTCTTCAGCAAAGGAGGATGACCAGGTAGGTTGTACAAGGTTGTAGGCTGATAGTCTGTTTAGTGGAGATTTGGGGAATTCATGAGAACTGTTATTGTTCTTTTCAACATACCATTCTATTTTAAGTTTGATCGATTTATTGTTTATATTTATGTGCCAGGATGGAGAAGAACCAATACCAAGATTTCCAATTAATGAGGAAGCTTGAAAAGGTAAGGGATAGTATGATTTACCAATGAAATCGTTTGGATTTGATGAAATTTTCTAAGGCATAGTTGGAGTAGGAAGGACACCGTTAAAAATAGGAAGCACCATCGCTATAATTATGGGTTTGAAGATTTTCGTAAATAAAAGAAAAAATGTATACAATTCGACTCCAAAAATCTTGTAGAAATGTAGAGGAGAGTACCAGGAACACGTAGATACCAAATATAGATAATCCACGATAGATTTAAGAGCTAAAATTTTCGAACGAAGACGAGCGCGTGATAAACAAAACAACCGCCGATCGCACCAATTTATAAACTTTGATTTCTCGGCGAAAAAAGGACCAATTTCAGCCAATAAACTCTTGAAATGATCGCTAGACTTTTAGCTACAAGATTATACCATAAAGTAAGGCCAACGAACAATTTTGAAGGAAGAAGATCAAAATTTCGAAGAGCACCGCCGGAAAATTCAATGGCCTTGCATTTTTGACCTTGCTGTGGCAAGATATCAGGCCGTGTAATTTAAGTAGGCCATGGCTACACACATCAATTTTCATGTCTTCAAACACACACAAACGATACAGAATCGATGAAATAACGGGACTAAATAGTGGACTATAAATATCGTCTACTCTTTGTAAAACTTTACTGCAGAGAGAGATCTAGGATAGTTTTGTAGGAATGGTGTTCTAGTTTTTATAAGATCTCGTTCGGTCAGTTTAGTTTCACGCTTGTCAAAAATGCAGTACGCGCGTTCAGCGGTTTTCTCAAGAAAATAGTCATTTAATGTCATGTAAAGTGTTGTAAAGTAACTCTTGAATATTTGCCGGTAAACTATCATTAAATCAACAACATAGCAGGAGCATTAAGTTTTATTTGGATTTTGTTTGTATTTTAAAATTCCCTTCATTTTTCTCTCATTATCGATTTCTTCTTTTTCCCTCGTAATTTGCAAAATTTTCTTGCGAAGGTAAAATCTTGTCAGTTGAAAATGCTGTAAACATATTAATATATATTAATACGATTGGTTGAAGTTTTAAAAGAAATAAAGCATTTTATTTGAATGGAGTATTCATACAAACACAGCTAATTTTGCTAATGTTTTTGGTTTTGACAGAGACGCAGTAGATTTATACACAAGCTTTACGAGTACAAATCATCAAAACGCCATGTCTCTTGATAGCTTAGTGGTCTCTATATTTCAATTTTTTACGAACAAAGCCCGAGATGCTGCAGCAGACAGGCTAGAAAACGGTGACGTTGGTAATGAAAGATTTCGCGAACTTATCAAGCGAGATTTACACGACATCAAAACAAAGCTAGATAATCTTTCCAAAATAGACCTTTGCTCCAGTTTGAACTACTTGGAGGAAGGATTTATTCTACTTTTTAATTGTATTGACGAAGTAGAAAATGATAGAGAATGTGAAGAAGCAAGTAATAATGATGAGTCTCAGGCAACTTGTACTGCCATCACCACCAGGTATGATCTTTCCACTGCAATACAACATTCAAAGGATTTTGAATCGGCAAAAAAACGATTTGAAGAATCCCGTAAGAAAGCAACGGATGTTTTCAACAACAAAAATTTAAGCTTGGAGGACAAAATATTTGCCGTAATTGTTAAGATCATGGCACAAATTTTTGAATGTCCGGAGAATCGAAAGAATCTCATTGATTTATGTTTATCTTATATAAAAAGGCTGCATGAATTGGACGGTGTTCGTAAAATGTTCTCTGTTTCTATTGGTGGTGGCATGAGAGCGTTGTTCAAAAATCCCAAAGAATGGAAAACATGAAGTCTGTCATTCTTCTCAACCATTATTTATATAAGTTTATTTTAAGGATCAACATGAATCATGATCATTTATCAACTTGGCCAAGTATTGAACTTGGAGACGGAAAAATTTTTAATCCAATACAGGACTGGCGCAAGGAATTCGCTGTCGAGTCTTGGGATAAAAATTCGATTGACTCTTTTCGAGAAATGAAAAAAATGAAAACTATGATGTTTGAACTTTTGGACAAGATGACTATAAATGAACATTTTGCTCCAATATTGACATCACCAAGTGAATTAGTTATGGATTTATTAAGAAGTGATATTTTGATTGCTGGAGGTGACTCAGATGACTCCTTAAAGAGTGTTGAAATATTTTCATGGAAGGAGGAGAAATGGTTTAAGATTGCATCAATGGAAAAAGGACACTGGTGGGCTTCATCATTTATTTATAATGATGATATATTTGTCGTTGGAGGATTGGGCGGCAAGTCAATGGAGACTTTGAATATAAAACAGTTTCCTTTAACATGGAGAAAATTTCCCACAAAGCTTCCTTATTACTGTCAGTATCATCAAACTGTTGTTTATAAACAACAAATCCTTTTCATTGGAGGAGACATTTTTGGTAAAGGACCATCAGATTTGATCAGTGAAATAAAGATTACAGGTACAACATCTTATGTTTTAAAAGAGTTGTGTCACATGCCTGAACCACGTTGTTACCATGTAGCTGTTGTTGTTGATGATAAAGTTCTTATTTTTGGAGGAGAGGGAAAAGATAGGAAAGATTTGTCCAGTGTTTTGGAGTTTGATCCAAGGACTCTTACATTCAAGGAAATGCCTCCATTACCTCATCCATTGACTCAAATGGCAACAGTTCAATGGAGAGATCAAGTTGTTCTTCTTGGAGGTTCTGGTGGAGAAAAGTTGAACAGTGTTATCATGTATGACAGCAAAACAGGTAAGATTACAGTCTTACCATCCATGTTGGAAAAGAGATCCTTTTGTTGTGCAGTTATAACAGGTGATACAATTGTTGTCATGGGAGGTATGAATGATAAATATGTAGATCTTAAATCAGTGGAGTGTTTCGAAATGGGAAGTAGTTCTTCATGGACATATCTTCCTTCAATGAATGAACCAAGACGTGCAGCCATTGCTGAAGTTTTACCTTTTGGACAAAAGTATGTCTAAGACACGAAATTTCATTAAGTTATGGAACGTTATAACTCATCAATGTTTGTTTGAACTACATTGGATGATAAATTTGTAAAATTTAAAATGTATAGTTCAAAAGTTCATATAATCATTGACTATTTTGATAAATTTCTGAAATAGGTGAAAGGCTTTTTTATCTAAATAAGTTTGAGTTTTTAGAGGATAGTTTATACCTTTTTTCTTGTCTTTGTTTCATTGCAGTTTATTGAACAATAAAATACAAGTTTTCCATGGTAAAAATTACTTTACTTAAAATATTTTTCCTAGTGGCAAAATACTTTATTTCCCAGTTTACCATCCACTACATTTACAAAAATCTACTAATTATCTTACACATTTGAAATGTTGTGAAGACAATCAGTTTGTAATTAACTTCTCATTCGTGAACACAATCACTTTCTGCAATACTGAAGTAATAATATTTAAGCCTGGTTCACACGAGTAAAATAAGCACAAACGTCGAGACTTTTGTTTTTTTTGCTCTAGAGAATAATAAAGACAAACGCATTGGGATTTTCTTTAAATCTTTTTTTGTTCTTCTCTTAGCTTATGCTTGAATTTTTTAATGAGATTTCACCACCATTTTAAAAGAAAGCAAAAGAAACAGTGGATTTTAACCTGTATCCTACCACGTTTGGTAATCTTCAATAAATGTAAGTCCATTTGAGAAATAGCAGTTGAGTAAAATTTCCAATATTTTTCGTGGATAAAACTTTTAAGATCAAATTTTCATACCTTATGCACTGCTTGTGCTTGTTCAACCATTACGTCTAGTGATGTATTTTTTATGCCATGCTTTCGGTCGGAAGATGAGTAGAAATTTCCAAATAATTTGCAATATTATGTTTTATTCGTTCATTTTTACGCTTTTATTCGGTGGTTCGTAATCGTAATAACGCAAAATCTCAAGATTTGTCTTGTAACCTAGCAACTGCCTTTTCTTGCACATTTCAATGCATACTCACGTGACTTCTCCACGTATTCCGCCTATCTTCAGAGGACGGAACCATTGAGTTCTATAAAAACTGGAGCGGCTATCTCTCAAAAGTTGATTCAAGTTTGTTTTTGCGTTTGAATTTCGTATCAGAGTAATCATGTAGACGTATTTACATGACTTGTGAAAATTTTTAGCCAGAAGAATCATCGCAAAGGTAAGAAATAAGAATAAGCCATTTTATTTCAGATATATTTGTAAAACTTGTAGTTTATGGTAACATTTCATCAACAGTTTCAAACTATTCATAGCATGTCTGAGATTCAATTAGTGGCAAGCACAATCGTGACGAATCAATTTAATTTTCCAGTTCATTTTATCTTGAATTAAAGTATTTATCATTCACACATTACTATATTTTGAAGCACTCATTTTAATTACACAATTTGCACTGATACCATAACAATGATTTTGTTGCATGTCAAATAATATTGATAAAATTTTATCTGCATCTATAATGTGTTGACAAGGTTATGGCAAAGTCAACATTAAGGCAACTTGAATGAAAAAATTGACCATATTGATCACAACTCAGCCAGTCTTCATTGTCATCCTCTCTGCATATTTTGCAAACAGCCACATTTTGCTTCCTAAGATATTCATAATGAATTCCATATAAAAATATTCAGCCAAATGTTATTTATGCCTTATTGTGTGATATCATCATAGCAAGACCCAAGTAATGTTGAAAGGATTCGTTTTCTCTCAGTCTCCATGTTTGCTGGTTTTTGATCCAAGCCAAGGGCTAGACATCGAGCAAACTGATGCGAAATGAGCAGTTATTGAATAATCCTGTTTGTAAAAATAGCTCTTCAAGTAAAGTTAGGCTATTTTAAGCTTACCAAGCATATGTACACTCCACAGTTATACATATCTTCCTGTTTACAATGGAGTGGCTCAAAACATTGCCATGAGCTTGAGTTCCAACCTGTTTTTACATCTACCAAAGCACTAAAGCAGTGACAAACAATGACCACATGAGTGATAATATTGATTGTTGAAAATGATTTTTGGGCAAATCTTTTAAGATCAAGTTTGATAATTACCTTAGTTTGTTTATATGATTCATCATCTGTGTATTTGGTGTCTTTTTGTCTGCACTTCCTCCAAGTGAGTCAAAGTAGAGTCTTGTTTTTGTGAACTTATCTATAGTCTATATTACACAAAATTACTGTTGCATTTATTTAAAAATTTTCTCTTTGTTAATTAAGGAGTTATATGAGTTAATGTTTCTATGGATACTAATTTTTGCATGTAAATCTGTGGACTCATGTGGGCTAAGTATGTGTATAATGCATGTCTATATTTTATTATTGCCTTCATTGATTAGCTCAAATACTTGCCAGTAGTGTCCAGTGAATGCCATGGATGTTGATTGGAAAAATGATAATTTTGGTTTGGTGAAAAGATATATTAGCCTATGTGCATCTTGTGCTTGAGTTGTTTTTAATAATCTCTGAAAAAATGATTCTGCTGCAAGAACAGTAGTGTAGTTTTCAGTCAAACTCCACAAAAAAGCTTCAATTATCTAAAATCAAAAGAAATCATAGTTTGAAGAGATTTCCTCTCCAGTTTTACGTGTACATAGCACTCATGGTTATAAACAATTACTTATAATGATAAATAAGAAGACTGTATTAGACGCTTTTTTCTCTTACAGAGTCAGTCAGCCAACCAGGTTTGAATGTGGTGACTTCTTTTTCAATAATTTTTAATTCTTTTTCAGTTATGTCTTTTGGACTGACAAGTGACCAAAGATCTACCGTTGATACATTCACAGGACCAAATTCCAGCACAGTATCCCCAAGACACTGTCTTTCTGTAAATGCATTTATTCGTTGTCTTGGAGTCAGAAACAATAAATTGTATATCGACTGTTTGCAAGTATCAGTGTAGGTGCTATATTATTTAAAAACATAGTGCATCAAGATACATTCACAATTTCAGCTCGTTTTGCAATGAATCACTGACCTTTCTTGATGTTGCAAGTTGTTGATTGGCGTTACTTCAGTTCTTTCTTGTGATGCCTGGATTTCCTCTGTTTCACTCTCATACAACAATTGTTGCTCAACTGGCTCTTCAAGTGCATTCTGGGACGTAAATTGTGAGTGAAAATTATAATTTGTAAAAAGGAGCTCGTCAGTCGAGGTTGCCAAAATGAAAATTATCTCACCTTGTTTGATGATACAGCGCTCTTTTTACTTATGTCTGGGATCATTGTTGTGATATAGTTATAAGCATGCTTCTTTTTGCGACGAAGAGGCAATTTTTTATGAAATACTTGATGATACTCCACACTTGCTACTTTCAAACGCTTTTTTGTTGGACTATTTCTAATTGGCAAACCTTCACTGACTGGGCAATTTTGATTTAAGATTTCGTGCATTTTATTTGCGTAGTCACGCGCTTCTTACAAAGGTTTTAGGTCGTTGACGGTGAATGCCTGATTTCGAACAAGGCTCAACTTCTCCAGCAATAAATTTCGCGTTTGTGCAGTTTCCTTTAGTTCGCAAATTTTTCTGTGTTAATTTTGTTTTCCTTTGTTTCACGTCTTCTTTCATCCTCTTGCACTATTACGTCATAAGTATGCTCGACAATCTCTGCATTGTTCTTGTCTCCTCGTGTTTTCTCTTTTTTTCATTTTCTTCTAGATTCAAGCCATTGTCCAATGTTATGAAAACACTGTTTCCATAGTGTTGTGGGAGGGCTGTGAAATTCCATTCTTCAAAGGTATTGAAAATTGTGTACATGTGTTTACCGGAAAATTGCGTTTTTCTCCATGAATCACAGCTACACTTTGAAACGCTGAGATTGATTTCCTACCATTTAGTTTTGTCTGATGAGCTTTTAACGCAGAAATCACCGTTGCTATTGTCGATGCAATCAACATCATTATCGCGAAATTCGCGCAATGCGAATGAACTTTTCATACAGTGCTTGATAAAGTGGTTTGGACGATTATGCAAATAGTATGGAACATTCTCGTTGCATTTTCTGTATTGGCTGCTTTGTTTGAAGTTGGTGTCTTTGTAGTGCTGATAAGAGTCTGGAAGAAATGACTCTACCATTGTTGTAACTACACCATGTATTGATTTTTCGATAGCTCTTCGAAGATAATTGTACTTAAAGTGCCTGTTCTGCGATTCGACGCCGTTAATGGTGTTCACTATGTTAACAACTTGTTGTTTTCTGAAAATTTGAGCCCACTGTTCTTTGCAAGTCATCCATGTGTTTCCAACGTAGCTTTTGATATGGGCTTTCTCATAAACTGAAGAGCTTCGAAGTGCTTCCAATGCATCGTCGAACAGATTTTGATATGTTGATCTTGCCACTTGCTGTAAAAGGTGGTGAAAGGTGGTAGCAGCTTCAACTTCAGTAAGTGAGTTTCCTGCTGCTGTTAAATTTGGATCATCAGCAAACAATCTAGGTTTTGTCTTTTGTAAGCATTGAGGTAGATCATTAATGTATAATAAAAACAGTAGTGGTCCTAGAATAGAACCTTGTGGTACACCACACTTGACCAACTGTTCAGATGAAATTGTTCCATTTATCTGACATAACTGAGTACGGTTGGTCAAGTAACATGTTAATAAAGACAAAGCGTCTTCTTTTATGCCATAGAGTTCAAGCTTGCTTAATAAAATTTTATGATCTACAGTATCAAAAACCTTTTATAAGTCAATAAATACCACTAGGTTGAATAATTTTTTGTCAATATTCATATACCAGCTATTGGTACAGTCCAGTAAGGCGGTAGCTGTTGATTGATGTTTTCGGAAGCCAAACTGACAGTCACTTAATGGGTGAAATTTATTCAAATATTCATAAAGTTGGTTGTATAAAATCCTTTCCATAATTTTGCTGATTGCTGGTAAAACAGAGATTGGTCTGTAGTTGGTAGGCAAATTCTTTTGCCCATTTTTAAATGAAGGAATTAGTCTTGCAATTTTCCATTCATTAGGGAAAGTGCATAATGTAATAGTCTGATTAAAGATATAGGTCATATATCTGCTTTGCGAAGATTAAAGAACTATACAAGAAGTACTATGGCTGCTGACAGGTTAAATGGTCTTGCTTTATTGTATATTCATAAGGACATTAATCTAGATATAGAAAAAATTATAGATCTTTTTGCAAAAGACAAAAGAAGAATTGAACTAGCTTTCTAGTTCGGAGTGAAAGTTCTTCATGCCTTTTTTAAACTCTTGACTGTAAAGATGACTGCCTCTAACCTCAGTCAATATAAACACAAACAATCGTTCTCAGGACTTTACTTACCTGGACGATCGAAATCTACAGACATTTTTTTGCTTTTTTTTTATTGACAACTTCATTTGATAAATTGACATAAAATCGTTTGCATAATAATCAGCATATAGGTATGACTAGACCATTATAAAATGAAATTCCATATTGATGAAGCGTAAAGAATTTTTTTAGGCTAAGTTTGTAATGAAACAGGCCGTCCATGTCGGAAACCCTCAAAGCATATTTTTCTGCGAGTTTCCTAGGCATGCTGATGAGCTCTGATATTGAGCGAAACGGTCAAAAATCGATAATTTATGAGCAAGAATGTTAGCTCATTCCAGTAATAAATATTTTAGAAGACCAACTTCAAAAACGCAGGAAATAGCGTTTTTCGCAATACAATTTTAAAATTTTCCCGGGCGGGACATGTTCCTGGACCCCCCCTAAAAAAGTCGCGCTAACGGTGGGACGTTGTGCCTAAGTTCATATACGAAGCTGGATCCGCCCCTGCTTTAGGATGTTTATATTACGAGTAATATCTGCTTTTCCGGAGTTGATATAGAGTTGAAGCGATGATGTAGTCTAGATTTCATTTTTAATTGTTTGTTAGGATTGGTTTGTTAAGACATCTTTCAAGATGGCGTCCTTGCCTCACGTCGACACGGTTGTTAGACATGCAGGGGTTGGGTTCTAAATTTTATTGGTACTGCCCAAGAAGGTGATCAGGCTTGGCAACACTGAATAAGGTTTGAACTAAATTAACTTTTTCTCACATTTCCTGCAGACATTCGGCAAAGAGCCTTTCCATAGCATGGGAAGTTTAACAAAGAATGTTCCGGTTCTAGTTGTCAGGGGCATCGCCAAGAGGTGAGCATGCGCATTTCTATTGCATTACGTCATTTTGAGGAAACCATATGAACATTGTGTGTCAAAGACAGGTTCTTGATGCCAGGCTGGCGTATCGGATGGATTGTAATTCACGACAGAAATGATTCCTTTGGTTTTAAGGTATGAATATATCGCTTGTAGTTATGGACTAAGCTCCATTAATACCAGCAAGAATTTTTATCTTTGCTTTGCTTTGGTTGTTTGAGGTCAAAGTTGAAAGAAAAGTTTTTTCGGTATCCCTTAAAATCAACGGTACAATCATTGTTTTTTGTTGTCATGTTAATCGCTCTAGTATTAAGGTAGTTATGACTCCAGATCAATAGCTAAGTCAGCCTGTTTTTACTACAACGCAAAAATTTTTGTGTTTATCTCCTGGAAAAAATTAGGAAAAAATAAATTTTCAAACGATATGAACTACAGTCAAACCTGTATTAAGCGGCCCTGTATTGAACGGACACTTTGTAAAGTCCAGAATTAAATCATGTATAATTCGTAGTAATGAAACCTCTATTGAGCGGACGCGGACAACACAAAAACCTGTGTTTAACGAACAATTTTTCAAATTATTTTATGTTATTTACAGACATAATATTAGTCACAAACATACTGTCTCAACAATTACGAAGATATTTTTCATAATGCAAGTGCATTGAAGATGAAATACTTATATCAAACATGAAATTGTTTACCAATTATTATTAAACATAACTTGTCAATGTCAAATGTAGTTTGTCGTTGTCGAAAAAAGATGACATTACAGCAAAATCTTCGTTCAGCCACTTACTACTTACTGAATATTACTAAATATTACCAAAAATATTTCTCA